AAACAGAATTTTTGTGGGAGTTTTGTCCCTCTTTTAAAATATATTTTAGCCTGGCCAGATAGCTCATTTGATTAGAATGTCATCTGATTTGATCTCTAGTCAGGGCACATAGAAGAATCAACCAATGAATGCATAAATAAGGGAAACAACAAATCGATGTTTCTCTCTCCTTCTCCCTCTCCCTCTCCCTCTCCTTCTCCCTCTCCCTCTCCCTCTCCCTCTCCCTCTCCCTCTCCCTCTCCCTCCTTCTGCCTTTCTCTTTCTAAAATCAAACATTAAATAAAAATGTTTTACATGATTAAAAGCATTATTTGATACCAAAAGTTTCACAGTGAAGAATAGCAATCCTACTTCCTTTTTTAAAAGCAGTTTCTTCTTTAACTCAGCCCCATATACTATGGTGATAATATGCTTACCCTAGTATTTTTTTTATTTCTCCCTTTTAGACATTATCTATTGACTTCCTGATAATGATAGATGAGATTTTAGCTTTTTAATGCTCATCTCTATTTCTTGCCTTGTTTCTCTAACGTATTGTAAATACAGTTAAATCAGTAATCAGTATTTACATTAGTAAAACAATACAGGATGGGGCAAAAGTAGGTTTGCAATTGTTTATATGAAAAATAATACAGTGATAAATAATAATACAATAATAAACTCGTGTATTCACAACTGTAAACCTATTTTTGCCCCACCCTGTTATGTTTCCTGCCAGGTAGTATATCATTACATTGTTCTTTTTTAAAAAGTACTATTTTTCCTGAAGTTACTCATTTCCTTGATTTACATAATTTTCAGTAAATCTTTTCTTAAATATGCAATTACAGGGTCTCCAAAAAAAATGTACACACACTTTGAAGATTATAAAGTCAGTGTTTATTAATATATAGTTCGATTTCAAAATTTGCAAGAATTTACAGAAATTAATTTTTTTTTGTTAATGCCTGTTTTCAAACTGCTGAACATTCTGGTCTAGGCACTGCTAATAACATGAAGCAATGGAATTTCAAACATCAAGAATCATTTCATTTGGTATTTGTATGCCTTCAATTCATTGACTTGTTGCCAATTTTATACCAGAAACTTTATCTTTTATGTATCTCCATAAAAGTCTAGTGGGACTTTAGGATAAATTTTCTTTGTTCAAAGCTTAGTCTGACTTCACCTATTATTTCAAATCACTTAAACCTGAAAAGGGGTGAAAATTAAGTGAGTTATCAGCTGTTAAAGTGTGCGTACATTTTTTTTTTTTTTTTGGATAACCTTTATTTTTCATAGGAGGGGAGATTAAGACCTTTTAGGCAGCTTCACCTGAGGTTAGTTTCTCTCACATAAAGAAGATCGTATTCTTGGGGTTAAAGGGCTTGTTTTCCAGGATCCTAACATATGTCAGTTTGACCCTAACTCACATTAGGCATGCATCAAATGAGAAACCTAAGCCTTGTAATTGAGAGTTTATTGCTCTCTGGGTCCATGCCTAGAGTGCTTAGCAGTTATGCTGGTATCCAACTCCAGAGAGCTGATAGATAGACTGTGATGTGATATCCAGTGATTCTAAAGAAGTAGGAACTTTCCAGTTCTGTTTGCATGTTGAAATAACTTGTGAATGGTATAGTGTAGATTAGAAACTGAAACTGAGGCTCTGGTATCAGCCTGTTCTTCCAAAAAATTCCACTCTTCTATCAGACTTACTTATGAGTCTACTAGATTATAGAAATCCCCTCAAATTCCATGTAATCATAGCAAAGATTTGTAAATACAAAGCACCACAGTTTTATATGAGAATACTGAAAACTTTATTCTCCTACTTTGAGATCCAGGTGCTGACAGCCAAACAAGGGTACAACTGAAAGTTTGTACCCTTGCCCTGGCTGATTTGGCTCAGTGGTAAGAGTGTCAACTCTTGGACTAAACGTAGGGGTGTCGAACTCAATCAGAGAAGGGGCCAAAATCTAAAATCCAGCCTAAATCGCGGGCCGAATGGTTTACTGAACAGTCATAAACTGTCATTGTGATGGAAACGCAGCGGAGTGCAGTGATGACAGCGCGGTGCGGGCCACATTGCAAGGCCTGGCGAGACGGATTTGGCCCGCAGGCCTTGTGTTTGACACATGTGGACTAAAGGATCACAGATTCGATTCCTGGTCAAGGGCATGTACCTAGGTTGCAGCTTTTATTCCCAGCTATGTGAGAGGGAGGCAACCAATTGATGAGTCTCTCTCAAATCAATGTTTCTCTCTCTCTCTCTCCCTCTCCCTCTCCCTCTCCCTCTTCCTCTCCCTCTTCCTCTCTCTCTCTCCCTCTCCCTCATTCCTTCCCTTCCTCCCTTTCTCCCTGTCTCCTTTCCTCCTTTCTACTCTCTCTAAAAAAAAAAAAAAAAGCCACCCAAAAAAATCAGTGGGAAAAATATCCTTAGGTGAGGATTAACAACAACAAAACAAAAAAAACAAAAAAGAAAGAAAAGAAAATTTGTACCCTTTTACCAACTTCTTTCTAGTCTCTTCACCCCCTTAGCCTCTGGCAACTGCTTTTCTATTTTTTGTTTTTATGAATTTGACTTTTTAAAAATTCCATGTATAAATGAAAACAGAGTATTTTCTTTCTCTGGTTTATTTCATTTGACACAATGTTGTCAGGGTCCATCCATGTTGTCACAAATGCTAGGATTTCCTTCTCTCTTTCTCTCTCTCTCAACATCTCTCTCTCTCTCTCTCTCTCTCTCTCTCTCTATTTCAGAGAGGAAGCGAAAGGGAGAGAGAGATGGAAACATCATGATGAGAGGGAATCGTTGATAGGCTGCCTCCTACATGCCCCCGACTGGGGATTGAGTCCACACCTGGACATATGCCCAACCAGGAATTGAATCAGTGACCTCCTGGTTCCTGAGTTGACACCCAACCACTGAGCCATGCCTGACTGGGCAGGATTTCCTTCTTTCTCATAGCTGAATAATGTGTGTGTGTGTGTGTGTGTATCAGATCTTTATCCATTTATCTGTTGATGTATACTTAAGTTGTTTCCATATCTTGGCTATTGTAAATAATGCTGCTGTGTACCTGCAGAGAATAATTTGAAATCTTGATTTCAACTCCTTTGGAAATATACCCAGAAGTGGGATTGCTGGATTATATGATAGTTCTATTTTTGATTTTATGAGGAACCTCCATAGTGATGGCACCCATTTACATTCCCACCAACAGCACACAAGGGTTCCCTCTTCTCCACATACTCACCAACACTTGTTATCTCTTCTCTCTTGATGTAATTGCCATTGTAATAGGTATAAGGTGATATCTCATTGTAGTTTAAATTTGCCTGATGATTAGTGGTGTTGAGCACCTTTTCTTGTATGTTAGTCATTTGTATATCTTCTTTTGAAAAAATGTCTATTCAGTTTCTTTGCCCATTTTAAAATTGGATTATTTGTTTGTGTTTTACTATTGAGTTGTATCGAGTTCTTTATATATTTTGGATATTGATCCTTTATCAGATATATGATTTGCAATTTTTTTTTTCATTCCATAGGTCACCTTTTCATTTTGTTGATGGTTTTCTTTGCTGTAAGAAGCTTTTAAGTGTGATGTTATCTGAACCCTTTGCTTTCATTAAATCTATAAAGATTACCCAAGATAAAAGTGTTAACCTGAGTCATCAGTGCATTCTTTAATTTCCTTGGGATGTTGCCTGTTCACATATACTCTTCATTATCCAGTGAGAATATAGAACATTTATTGGTTATTAGCCCATAGTTTACATTCTTGATTGAAATAGCTTTATTTTAGGTTATGGAAATATATCCTATATAATAAAGAGGTAATATGCAAATTGACCCTCATGCCCTCACAAGATGGTTGCCTATGACCAGGCCAGCAGGGGAGTTAGTGAGGAACCACCAAACAACTGAACAAGCAGGCTGCATGGGGTGACCAGGCCAGCAGGAGGGGCAGTTGGGGACAACCAGGCCAGCAAGGGGGGGCAGTTGGGAGTGACCAGACCAGCAAAGGGAGGCAGGGATGACCAGGCCAGCAGAGGGGGGGGGCAGTTAGGGGCGATCAGGCTGGCAGAGGTGGGCAGTTAGGGGCAACCAGGCAGGCAGGCAGGCAGGTGAGCAATTAGGAACCAAAGGTCCAGGATTGTGAGAGGGATGTCTGACTGCCAGTTTAGGCTCTGTTGTCCCAAATTGGAGAGGGTGCAGGCTGGGCTGAAGGAACCTCTCTCCCCTTCACCTCCCCACCCTGTGCATGGATTTTGTGCACCGGGCCTCTAGTGTGTGTGTGTGTGTTTTTTTTTCTTTCAAGGAAATAAGAGGTTATTTATCTAAGGAAGTTGTAGAGACAAAATGAGAATGAAGTGCAACATCTAACTTGAATTTCAAATTTAGTTTGTTATTGTCTTAGAAATATCAGATGCATTAAAATTTTTTAAAATTAAATGATGATTATCTGTGTACATATACCATTGCCCCTCCCCCATACATGCCCTCCCTCCCCAGAGTTTTGTGTCCATTGGTTGTACTTATATGCATGTATACAAGTCCTTTGGTTGATCTCTTATCTTCCCCAGATCTCGCTACCCTCCCTGCTGTAATTTGACAGTCTGCTTGTTGCTTTACTGTCTCTATATCTATCTTTTGGTTCATCAGTTTATAATGTTCTTTATTATCCATAAATGAGTGAGGTCATGTGGTGTTTCTCTTTCATTAATTGATTTATTTCACTCAGCATGATATTTTCCAGTTCCATCCAGGTTGCTGCAAATGATGAGAATTCCTTCTTTTTTATGGCAGCATAATATTCCATTGTGTAGATATACCATAGTTTTTGGATCCAATCATCAGAATATGCTTCAAAGTAATCATCTGTCCTTTTGAATTATCTCATAATGTAGATGGATGTACAATTTGTTTAAAGAAAAATACATGATTTTTAGTCATCTATAGGTTGCTAGTATATTTCAGTATAATTTTTGTTTAAAGTATTTTTTTAAATTTCTTTCAGTAATCCCAAATCGGAGATTCAGAGAGTAAATAAAAAGGTCAACAATGATGCCTCACTTAGAATTCATAATCTATCCATTTTGGTGAGACAGATAAAATGTTATTATCAGGTAAGTGAGTTTATTTTCATCTATTATATTTTAATAACTGCTCACATACATTGTTGTGTTACTTAGGATCAATCACCTAACAGTGCTTATTATATGCCAGGTACTGGTCTGTTTCCTGGAGATAGAACAATAATGACATAGTTCCTTTATTGCAATGTTAAGATACAAGTAAGCACTTCATTATTAGCTAATTTTACAAATAATTATTGTATTTTATAAATTTTTAAAACAAGTTCTCAGTTTCCTGAGATTTGTATAATGCAGTATCTTATTAGCTTGCTCTAATTATGCTTTTCAAGAGTGTACTTTTTTTTTTTTTATAATATATTTTATTGACTTTTTACAGAGAGGAAGAGAGAGAAATAGAGAGCTAGAAACGTCTATGAGAGAGAAACATCTACCAGCTGCCTCCTGCACACCTCCTACCGGGGATGTGCCCGCAACCAACGTACATGCCCTTGACTGGAATCGAACCTGGGACCTTTCAGTCCGCAGACCGATGCTCTACTGCTGAGCCAAACCGGTTTCGGCTCAAGAGTGTACTTTTCATTGTTCTTTTTTAAACTTAAATTGGATGCATATTGTACAATTTAAATATGAGCATTCTCATGGTTATCAATATACCACTAAGAATTGCTATAGCTGCATCATATAAATTTTAGTATGTTATATTTTTAAAATGTTTATTCTGTGAATTTTCTAATTTTAGTTATGATTTCTATTTTCAGTTATGAGTTATTTAAACTCTGCTTTAAATTTCCAAAAATAATGGTATTTTTAAAACAATTTGTTGAATTTTGGTCAAAGAATTTGGTTTGTATGATACTGACTTTTTGACATTTGTTAAAAATTACTTGACTTGGCCTAGTATGTTGGCAGATTTTATTAAAATTCCATGTGTGCTTGAAAGAGATCTGTATTCTTTAATTGTCTGGGTGCAGAGTCAGAGTGAGCTTGTTTGTTAATGTATTGTTGAAACCTTTTGCAGCCAGACTAATTTTGTCTCTTGGTTTCCCAGTTATTGAGAAAGATGACTTGAAATCTCCCATTATAATGATAGAGTGGATTGTTCAAGTTTTCCTTTGTATACTTTAAAGCTATGTTATTGGGTGCAAATGAGTTTCCTCACAATGTTTTACAGATTTTATTCTTCTGTCTCTGGATTCTTTATTGTTCTGAAGAAGTCAGCTATCAGTCTCATTTTTGTTCTTAGGTTGAACTGTCACTTTTCACTCTTGGCTGCTAATTTTGTCTCTTCGGATATTGACTCTTTGCTATTCTGTTACCAGATATACTTCAGATATTTTCTGTTTAATGTATACTAGGCTTTCTTAACTCTGTCCTCCATGTTTATTAAATTTTCTTTTAGCTTTAGCTGGTTTTGCTGAGTGATTAGAGCATTGGCCTGTGGATTAAAGGGTCCAGGTTGAATTCCAGTCAAGGGCATGTACCTCAGTTGCAGGTCAATCCCTGGCCCTGGTCGGGGCATGTGTGGGAGGCTACTAATCACTGAATCATTTAAAAAATATATATTTTATTGATTTTTTTACAGAGAAGAAGAGAGAGGGCTAGAGATTTAGAAACATCAATCAGCTGCCTCTTGCACACCCCCTATGGGGATGTTGCCCGCAACCAGGGTACATGCCCTTGACCGGAATCGAACCTGGGACTTTTCAGTCCGTAGGCCGACACTCTATCCACTGAGCCAAACCGGTTTAGGCCACTGTGTCATTCTTACATCGATGTTTCTCTTTCTGTCTCTCCTCCTCCCTTCCACGCTCTAAAAATCAATGGAAAAAATATCCTCGGGTGAAGATTAACCAATAATATGTTTTTCTTTTATATTCAATCTTGTGCTAAATTCTGAGAAGGTTTTCCAAACTATCTTTTCAGTTTGCTAATTTGGTCTGCATATTTGTCAAATCTCTGTTTTACCCACTGATTAATTTGACCCTCACTAATTATATCGTTCCTTTCTGGAAGTTCAGTGTGATCTTTCCTTAGAGAAACAACCCTCTTCAACATCTGCCAGAGGCTAAGAAAAACAGCTTTTTCCTTGCTTCCCTCAACATGGCTTAATTTTTTCTGAGAAATTATCTTTTTACTTTGTTTTAAGCTTAGTCATATATTTTTTAAAAAAAATTTAATCCTTCAGTATTTTTAGATTCCTTTCTAATAGCTAGTACTCCTAGTTGCCAGAAATAAAAGTCTATGCTAAATTTCTTATAAAATTTTTAAGCCCAGATGTTAATAGTGCCAAGATATTAATAATGATTTTCTTTTTCTTTTCTTTTTTATTTATTTATTGATATGAGAGAGAAACAATGAGTTGTGGTTCCATTTATTTATACACTTATAGGTTGATTCTTGTATGTGTCCTGGACTGGGAATCAAATTTGCAACTTTGGTGTATCAGGATGACACTTTACTACTTGAGCTTTTTCTTGACTGTCACTCTTTTTTTAGACATATCTGTATGTATTTCATTAACGTTTGCTGAATGACCATTTAATTGCAGTATAGCACACATGCAGAGAAGTGCACAAATCATAAGTTATAGCTTGTTGAGAAATTACCTAGTCAGCATTTCCTATGTAACAACCTTTGGACATCTTTTTATAGGAAACATTGCAGCAGTTGATCATGATGTCATTGCCAAATATCTTAATTATTGGGAAAACCCCCTTTTGTGGTAAGTATTAACTTTAGCATAATGTGATAATAAAGTATTTGCTTTTGTAATACTAGAATGCTTACCCAGATCATGCTTATTTACATCAACAGACCAAGTTGTTCATGACTCTATAGGGAAAGCTGGAAGTAATATTCCATTTTATACAGAGAAAATAAACTCAGAATATTTGTAAGTTGTGGATGGGATCAGGCATACATTTTCACTAAGTCTGATGTTTTTTCTACTATACAAATTGATAGTTTTCTGTGATAAGTTTTAGTGGGTCATAAACAGGGATAGAAAGAAGATAATGTAGCTGTTGGCTTCAAGGAACATAACCTTAGAAAAGAAGTATTTCTGAAATAATTTTTAGGTTTATTTTTATATACTTCTTCTTATCTACTATGTACCATTGCTCAGTTATTTGAGACTAAGGTTTTACTGATTGATATGCTGTAATTTATAAATATAAATTACTTCTGAATGGAAAGAGGAGAACCAGTTTCTTAGATCATTTAAATTATTTTTTCAAAAGTTTCTGTACTTTGCTAGATTTTAAACGTGACATGTTTAGAGTTTTAATTTTTGAATAATTGGGGAAATTAGCAACTACATAACCATTTCAACAATGGACTTACTCTAACAGGCTGCATGTAACCAAAATAAAGTTATCTTCTCCAAATTGTACCTCCACCAAAATAAAAACTAAAATCAGCCCTGGCTGGTTTAGCTCAGTAGTTAGAGTGTCTGCCTGCAGACTGAAGGGTCTCAGGTTCGATTCAGGTCAGGGTCATATACCTTGGTTGTGGGCACATCTCTAGCGGGGTGTGCAGGAGGCAGCTGATCGATGTTTCTCTCTCATTGATGTTTCTAATTCTCTATCTCTTTCCCTTCCTCTCTATAAAAACTGAATAAAATATATTAAAAAGAAAGGATGATAGCTTAAAAAAAAAATACTAAAATCACATAGTTGTTTTTATTGAAGAAACTACCAGTTAGATGGGGGCACTATTCTGGGATATTTGGTTATACAAATAAAAAAGGAAAAAAATATTTTGTATGTAGAATAGAACTATTTTTATTTCCACATGTATTTAGTAATTACCTACCAAGTAAGGACCAACAATATAAAGAAAATGAGTTATGCTCTTCAGGACCTTGTGTTTTGTTGAGAGATATAGATTACTGGGAAATCATGTAAGAATTGGTACAAAATAGAGATATGTAAAAAGGTTAAGACATAAAATATGGAGCTATTACTTATTTATGTTGGCAGATTAGTGAGGTTTGGGACCATTGATGGTTAGGTCAAAGAAGACTACACAGAGGTGTTACATACAGCTGTGCCTAGGATTGTGATTAGTAAGTAGAGGGGCAAGAGGGAAGGGAAGAAAGGCAGAGTAACAGAAGTTAAGCAGTTTGGGTGTATTTATATTTGGGGAAAGGTGATTAGTGTAGCTAAGAAAGTAGGCTGTTTCAGGGAGAGTAGGAGGAAAGTTTTGAAAAGAAGATTTGGAATTTATAATAAACCAGATTGGCCTAATGGTGAAATTCTGGTCCAAAGAATTGACTTTTTTTCCCCCATCTGCTAAATGTTTTAAGCAAACCTGAGTTGAATTGGTTAGCAGATGTGTTCTTCAGTTCTTTTGCAGACCATTCATTTTGTCCAGCTCATTATATACATCTATTTTACCAGTTTCACTATAACTGACAAGATTTTGATCCTCATGAACCTATACAGTGGAAAGCCATTTAAATTTTACTCATAGATGACTCATACAAGTTATTTTAGAAAGAAAACAATAGTCCTAAAAGAAGCCTGATACGTTGGGAACCATTTTGACTGATCTTGAGGCATGTCCCTACAATTCTTAATTTAGTACGCTAGTGTGGTATTATCATTTATGGAAAAGTAGTGGATTTATAGTTGGATACTTCATTGCACAGAACCTTGAAGCCTATTTTATCTATACTGTAGCTCCTCAAAATTGAAATCCTTGTACATTTCTCCTGCTATTACCACATTGTACACAGAGCTGTTTTCTTAAAATTTTTCATTGTACTTACATTTTTAATCTTTTAGTCAAGTTGTGATTACCTATAGAATGCTTCTATCAATATAAGAAAGAGGGCCTAACTGGTTTGGCTCAATGGATAGAGCATCGGCCTGCGGACTGAAGGGTCCCAGGTTCGATTCTGGTCAAGGGCATGTACCTTGCTTGCAGGCGCATACTCAGTAGGGAGTTTTTGTTTTTGTTTTTTAATTTTTTAAAATTTTTATTTTTAAATATATATATATATATATATATTTAAAAGTAAAAATTTTATATATATATATATATATATATATATATATATATGAAAGAGAATTGAACTAACGTAAAATATTATTCTCAGTTATTGTTTTTATTTCAGAACAAGGCACAGAAGAAGTTAAAAAGTTGCTTTTACTTTTATTGGGTTGTGCAGTTCAGGTAAGTTTAAAATTTCTTCATATTTAATTTTGATAACTTCTTTATGCTTTTTTAGGCTCTAGTTTTTGAAAGACTTCAGGATGGGCCAGTGGTTTTCATAGTCTATGTTAGAGATTTTAGATTTTGAAGAAAAAGAATTATTCTCTTATTTTATTTCAAACTTTAGTTATATTACCAGGTAGTTATATGATTTAAAATCTTTAATTATTCTTTATCCTGAGGCTTCTAAGGCCCCCAAGTTTTTCAAGTTTCCTTAAAGATACCTTTAAAAACCTCTCTCAAAACATCCTTATAATTAATACGTGTGTGTGGTACTGAAGAAAAGTGAGAATGGCAATATGAAGGAGGCAGAAATTATGAAAAATGTTTTAGGAGTCTGGGTTATTGTTATATTGCCCTTTTAATCGATGACTAATAATAATAATAGCAGCTATTAATTTATATAAGTTTTCTTATATCTCTTTTCAGATAAGGGAATTGGTATTTATGTAGGATGATTTTTAAGTAACTCAAAATTAAAACACTTAGGAGAGTCAAAAAGGGGTACTATTAACAATAACAGTGGCACTGCTTGTATAAACTGGGACTGCCCCAGACAAAAGTGGTTGCTCTAGATTCAAGTCATATTGTTAGTAGGCCAAAGAGTAGAGATTCAACTTCAATTTGATGTTTCCTTTAATCAGCCAATGTTTGGATGAATTATCACAATGATACTTTAAATTTTTCTTTAAATTTATTGATTTTGGAGACAGGAAGAGAGATAAACCCTGAGAAAAACAGAGAAATATTGATTTGTTGTTCTACTTACTTACACAGTCATTGTTTGATTCTTGTATGTACTCTGACCAGGGATTGAACCCACAACCTTTGGTGTATCAGGATGATGCTCTAACCAACTGAGCTACCTGGCCAGAACACAATATAAATTTAAACTATCTCAATTCTTTATTGAATGAAGTATTGGTAAACAATAATGTGGCCACTTATAATGTTTTACACACATATGTTAGAAATTAAACACAAAAGAGTGTTGACTTTTAGAGCTGACTGCTTGGGAGCTGTATATACAGTGTATGTTATTTAAGTTTCATGCTGTATTATGTACAGGTGTTTACTTCACAATTGATTACATATTAAATTAAATATAGTGTTTGTAGTCATTGCTGTTTTAATTTGGTCATCAGATTCTGAATTAGAAACAGCTCTAAATTATTTACATACAGCTTTTGTGTACTGTATTTGTTTTTAAAAATACCTCTATTGGTGAATATTATATAAATTTAGACAACATAGTGACACTATACATTTGGTTATTACTTCTGGCTATATTTAGTTGTTATTGATCGTTACTAAAAGTGATAGTAGCAATGGAGCAGAACCAAGGACTTTTAAAATGAACAGTTTAGGTAAAGCCTAAAATATTAAAGAAGACATCATTATTACCATCTGTAAAGACAACAAAAGAATATTATAAAAATCTAAGCTGTTTCCCCCTCCCTTACTGTTTTCTGTAGCTCACATGATAATATCCCTGGAAAATGAAAAGAATGCCATGGAAATAGTGGTGCTTTTTCTTACTAAGATAAATAAAGCATTTTATAGGTTACTAAACCCCATTGCGTGTTTCCTAAAGAAATTTACCAAGACTTTTTTACATTTGATGTTCATTTCATTTTCCTTTATTACTTAAGTAAAGCAGAACTATATAATGGACCTGCTTTTTAAAAAGCTAGTTAATCGCCCTAGCTGGTTTGGCTCAGTGGATACAGCATTAGCCTATGAACTGAAGTGTCCTAGGTTTGATTCTGGTCAAGGGCACATACCTGGGTTTTGGGCCCCATCCCCAGTAGAGGATATGCAGGAGGAAGCCAATCAATGATTCTCTCTCCTCATTGATGTTTCTCTCCCTCTCCTTCCTCTCTGAAATCAATAAAAATATATTTAACACACAAACAAAAATACTACTTAAGCCATGCTAGAAATCACCAATTATCATATTAGATATGTACATGCAATTAAAACAAGATTTTCAGGCAATGTTAAGTATTGTTAATTTTTCCTATTAATATATCAGCTGGTTATGATTCTCTGTACTTTAGATTCACATAATCAGGGAAGGGCTTATAAGGTAGATATTACTTCAAATAGTCATGGGAATAGGAAGGAAGAATATTTGAGGAGATTAAGGCATTAGAGAAGGCACAGAATGGGAAAGTTGTGTAAAAGAATAATTATAAATATGCATCAGTATGACATTGTAAAGTAAGCTAGAAAATAGAGGATATTATTTTCTTTCTATTGAGTTTTAAGAGTTTTTTTAATTATAGTTTACATTCAATATTGTTATTTTTTAATTTTCTATTTTGTACAGCATTGTACTTAGACAATAATAGACTTTACAAAGTATTCCCCCAATGTTTCCAGTACCCACCTGGCACCATACATAGTTAGTACAATGTTATTGACTATATTCCCTATGCTGTACTTTACACTTCTTTGTAACTACAGATCTGTAGTTCTCAATCCTTTCACCTTTTGCACCCAGTCCCCCAAACCTCATTTCCTCTGGCAACCATCAGTCGATTTTCTGTTTCAGTGAGTCTGTTTCTGTTTTATTTGTGTGTTTATATGTTTTTAAATTAGATCCCAAATATAAGTGAAATTATATGGTATTTGCCTTTCTCTGTCTGACTTATTTCACTTAACATAATACCCTCTAGGTCAAGGGTGAGGAACGTCTGGCCTGAGGGCCCGATAAGGCCAAGAAATCATTTGGTCTAGCCCTGCCAAGGCATTTGGGGTGAAGTAATTAAATGTTTGACCACATATAGCAGGCTAGTTTTCAAGTTGATAATTTTGTATGGCCCATGAATGATGTTATAAATTTCCACATGGCTCTTGGCAAAAAAAAAAAAAGGTTTCCTGTCTCTTCTTGAGGTCCATCCACACTTAGTAGCCATGTGGTTTCTGTGTGGACAGCACTGATATAAAACATTTGGTCTGATTATTCAGCTTCAGAGTTTGAATCTTCTCTCATTCTCATTTCCATCTTGATAATCTTCCTCTTTTCTGCTCTTCAAAATTCTATGACATTCATTCTATATTCTTTAAAAAAGCCTAATCTATTTATAAAGCATTTCAGCATTCTTAAGACTGTGAATATTTTAAGTGTAAAGGAAGAATCTTATTGATTTATGTTATGACTGTGTTAAAGGTTGAGCTCCTAAAGATAGTGTAAATAAAGAAACAGAAGCTTTAGGAGTTAGGAAAGTAAAGAGTTTCTGGTTAGTTTAAATTGAAGGCAGACAGCCAGGCTGGTGTGGCTCAGTGGTAGAGCTTGGACCTATGAACCAGTAGGTCCAGGTTAGATTCCCAGTCAGGGCATATGCCTGGGTTGCAGGCTCCATCCCCAGTACGGGACATGCAGGAGACAGCGTTCCATGAAAGAAAAAAATCGAAGGCAGACAGATACGACAGTTGAATTAGGGGACTGTCCCTTTGCACATGTGTCAAACACAAGGCCCGCGGGCCAAATCCGTCCCGCCAGGCCTTGCAATGTGGCCCGCACCGCGCTGTCATCACTGCACTCCGCTGCGTTTCCATCACAATGACAGTTTATGACTGTTCAGTAAACCATTCGGCCCACGATGTAGGCTGGATTTTAGATTTTGGCCCCTTCTCTGATTGAGTTCGACACCCCTACTTTAGTGAGTAATCGTCTCTCACTATTTGATATGCTCATTAGCTCAGACAGCCATCAAAAAAAAAGTTAACATTTTTAAAAGCATTAAATTGAAGATTTTATTTTTTATATCCTACATAAAAAGTTATTTTATATATGTTTCAAATGTACTGTCCAAAGTCATTCTTAATTGTTCTTATTAGGCCTGTCAAATATTACTTATACATAAAAATTCTTGTTTTTAAACAAATTTTTGTTTTATATCCCAAATTTTGGCTTCCTTTTTTAGTCACAGCTAGGAATTGCAGGTTCCTGGTCATTTAATTTTAAATATTATTATGTCATACTAATAATTTTGTTTTTACACGATATAGAACTTTCTGCATTAATGGAAATGTAGTTAAGTTAAATTGTGTGGCTATAGAATAGGATGTTACGATTTGATGTAATGAATATGTAAATATAAATCAGAATCTTGCTAGGTTTCTTAATGATCAAAGAGTTGATTTTCTTTTTGTGAGTATAGAGTCTTCACTAGTGTTCAGTAATTGGCCCAGGGGATACCACTGGGCGAGACAAGGCAGTGCTGGTTATTTTGTATGCACTTCTCATTTGGTAGCTGGAGGAATACAGTTACGCTAGCAGTTGGAATGAGTGCAGTGTAAGAGATGTAGAGGGGAGGCAGAGATTAAGGTGCATGTTAAACTGCTATTTAATACTGTTTAGAAAGAAAAAGTTTGGCTTTGCATTTTAATATTTTTAATTTATATAATGTCTTTAAAATGTTACACAAATGCTGCCTTTATTCCACTTGACACTTGTGTACTTGTATATACATTTTTAAAATTTGCCCCTGGTAACCTTGTTATAAACAAGTCAAATATTTATGGTAGTGCCTTACAAATGTTGAGCTGGTATACAAAAGTAGGTTTCTTAGATTGATAGGCTAAAGATGTGAGAATGAATTGTAAGCTTGAGGTAAAAATTGCTTACAATTTTTTTCCAAGAAGAAAGGCTGTGTTGTTTGATGATAGCCAAAGACTGACTGAGCATTTTGGCTGTATTCCGAATTCTGCCACTGACTCACTGTGTTTTTTGGCAAGTAACTTATCCTCCCTGAAACAAGTTCTTGATTCTTTACTTCTCTGTTTGTAAAGTTAGCATAATAATATTGTACTGACCTCAGATGGGTTGTGTAATAGTTTCCCTCTTTAGAACTTTGAGGCATAAAAATAGTATGGATTTTCAATGCCTTGCCTTTTAAATAAATACTTCTAAATTGTTATCTTTTTATTAGGTAAGCATATTAAAGAGACCATTTAAATGCAAAACAAAACAAAACCCTCATTGTACTGTTCAAAACATAGCCGAGAGTTTTACCCTGATGAGCTTTCAGTTATGTACAACACGTTAAGTACTATACCCTATAAAGTATAAATGATCATTTTATTCATTTCTTTTAGTGTCAGAAAAAAGAAGAATTTATTGAAAGAATTCAAGGTTTAGATTTTGATACAAAAGCAGCAGTTGCAGCACATATTCAAGAGGTAATAACATGTGTATAGTTTTTATGAAGCTGTGGTGTGTTTATATATGTAATCTCCCAAAGTCATAGGATAAGCAAGAGCAAATCAAGGTCAAATATAGATGAGCCCTGCTTTTAGACAAATTGCCATCTTCTCTTTAGAGACAGTTTCTTAAATGAATCAATCATCTTATATGTGGCATAGTGCTAACCATAAACGTACTATTGTGTTTATACAGAGAGACATAGACAAAAAATGTTATTTGAGGAATGAAGTATATGTCTTTTATAGATAGCACAGAATACATAGTATAGTAAATGGAAGCAGCAGAAAGTGGATCATTGCATGTAATTCAAAACTAAAGTGAGCTAAGATGATTACTATAGTATTTTGTCATCCAGTGATTTTTACTTTAAATGAATGGACACAGCATAATTTTTATTGAAACTTTTACTTGGACTATAAATGGTGATTTGTAATATCTTTATAAAAACTTAAATCTAGTATATATTGTCTAGTACATATTGTGCAATGTCAAGTAATTGAAGTTATATATTTATTTGTTAAGAATGCTTTTAAAAGCTGCTGTTTCTGCATTTATCTAGACTTGGTCCTTTAATAATCTTGTATACTTTACAAGACTTTTTAGAATTAGAGCATGCTAAATTTTGCATGCTGGTTAGAAAGAGAACTAAGGGAAAGGGAAGGGAGAGGATTTTTAAATAGTTAAAATTGGTAGTGTTTAAAATATTATGTATTTAAATAACTATGTGTTCCCATATGTCATCTTTTCTCTTAGTTAACATTCAGAGATCCCAGCTTTCTTGTCAGTAATATTATTGTCAACAGTATGCATAGTAAAACTCTATAAAATATAGTTTTATTGGTAGTTTCCCCTTATATGTGTTTGCTTGTTTATGCTAGCTCTGTGGCTTGTATTTTATTTTAGATAAATGCTAATTGTTGCAAGTCACTAAATTTGCCAACATTCTTGAAAATGTTATTTTTGCTACTTAATGTGAAAGTTAAAGCAAAATATCAGAATCATGATGAGAAAAGGAAAGCAAGAACTAAGTATTTCACTTATATAATTTTCATTTTTTTAAAAACCTTTATACTGGGAGTTCTTTTCTCCTTAAGTTCTGTGATGGTGTCATCTTCAGAATTTATAACAAATTAGTTTTATAAGTATAAAAATGTAAGAAAATATATCCTATATGATTAAAAACTTTTGCTTTTGAATTAAAGTACAGTACATTTAGTACTATCTAATCTAAAGTTAAATTGATTTTGTTAAAGCAGTTGTCAGAATCAATGTTACCTTCCTTTAAAAATGCTTTGAATTAAATATCTTTTTTTTTAATTGACTGGAAAAGAAATAGAAATTTATTTAAAATTTTATATTAAAAAATAATGTTTTTAAAAATAATTTTTAGTAGTAGCTTTTTCATCACACATTACTTTTTAAACATCATATTTGCTTTTTATATTTTTATTATATGGGACATAATATTTGAGCTAATATTTTGCTAAAATGAAATAGTTTTTAAGTATTAGCCATTTTAAAAGTTATTTATCTTGGTTGTTTTTCTAAAGGTTACCCATAATCAGGAAAATGTGTTTGATTTGCAATGGATGGAAGTTACTGATATGTCTCAGGAGGAAATAGAACCACTCTTGAAAAATATGGTGTTGCATCTAAAAAGACTTATAGATGAGAGAGATGAACATTCAGAGGTTTGTACATTTCTTTCAATATATTACCAAAGTTTGCTTTCCTAAAAAAGAGAGAAGTAGCATTTAGAAACACTACAGAATTAATACACCATTTATTGAAATACTGCGTGCCTTTTTTGTGTGCAAGGTAGGAACCAGAAAGGACATAAGAGCCCCATATTAGATAAAATTAAACAGTAAACTAATAAACAGATTACAATTAGGGGTTCGTTCTTTCTTTCTTTTTAAATTATTACTCTGATTCCCCCCCCCTGTGTTTTCTTAAGTCATCCCCTTAGCTCGGCAACAGTACAAAAGTGTGAAACTGAAAATATTGTTGATGTAAGTGGAAAAATCATTGCCTTGAAGCATAAGAATTTACTTAAGGATAATTTTTAGTTTTATTACCACATGAGGTTGGAAAAAGAAGTGTTAATAAAAGGAGAATAACAGGTGTTATGTATAAAATATCCCACAAAAGTTCTCAAATTTTTGTAGTCAGTATAATGAGGTGTGATTTTTAAAAAAGAATTATTATAAACTCTTTTAAGACAGTACTTTGCTTTTTAAAAAGAGGAAAAATTGCTCCAGAATTTTTTGCCTGCACTCTCTGAAAACAGCTTGTAATTTTCAGAGGAGTCTAGACTTCAGTGCATGTGGTGGTGAGTAATATTTTCTGAATATCAGACCAAAGTACTTTGCCATTCAGGAGAATGTATAGCTTTGATCATTTGTTCCATTTACATGGAGACAGTTTTGAGCTGATTTACACAGAATTTGATTACTCTTGGGACAAATAAAAGACTATATAGAAGAAATTCCTAAAGATTTATTTTTATGAACAAAACTTTCATGTCTCTTTAGAATATATTCAGTTCTGATGAGAATTTTCAGTTTTTCTTCAGTCATTGAAGAAGACAATATAGGAAATAAAGAAATATTTTAGAGCAACAATTAAATATTTTTAAAAGCTAATACAGTGAGACTGAAGAAAGAAAAGAGTAAATTGAAAAAAAATCTCTAGTATATATCAAATTTACCCTGAATTTTGTTTCATTTTCAGTCTGATTTTTGAACCATATGCTGTATCCTTTTTTATATTAGTATCTTTTCATCACTTTATTCATTTCTAGAACATCCTTTTGTATGTCAAGATGTTAAAGATATTTTGTTAAGGTGTCCTCCAATTTCTGAGGAATTACTTCTAAAAAATCTATACTTTGGCCCGGCCCCTGTGTCTCAGTGGTTGAGCATCAGCCTATGAACCAGGAGGGTGCGGATTGATTCCCAGTCATGGCACATGCCTGGGATCAATCCCTGGTAAGGGGCATGCAGGAGGCAGCCAATCAATGATTCTCTCTCATCAGTCATGTTTCTGTCTCTCTTTCCCTCTTTCTTCCTCTCTCTGAAATTAATTAAAAAAAAAATCTATACTTTGGTTTTATATCATTGATAAATTTCACCTACATGAACTGATTAATATGGTAAGAAGCAGTACATTATTTTGGAAAAATGTGAACAAAATATGTGTCATTACATTCTTTGTGTTAAAACTAAAAAGAATAATAAGCACCATATAGATTATTTGAAAAACCTTTTTAAAACTTGCCCGATTAAGCATTTTTGTTGAATTTGTTTTTCTAACAAGGAAAAAAGAACCAGTCTTATTCTCCTTTCTGTGGTATTCAGGAAACAAGTTGCTAGCTGATTTAATCCCAGTTCTCTTGGGGGAGCGGGAAAGGGAGAATTTTAATTTGGGTCATCAGGACTAATTAGAAAAGACAATTTTGTTTTGATTGATCTTTTGTCATAGTTGTTTCACTTTAATCTAGAAAGCATAATTTGATCACCCTGTCTTTAATGACTCTTCATCTTTTCATTATTAATGCTATGGAACAATGATCTTTTCAGGCCTCTCCTTTTACTCAAAACCAAATAGGAGATTTTGACAAATTTAAGATTTCGTTATTGTCACCGTTTATTTTATGTCAAGCTCTGTGTTAAGTTTAGCATATACTCTTAAGTCTGCATAATCACCCCATTTTATGGATGAAGATCCTCGAGAGTAGAGAAGTAACTCCTGTGCTTATGTTCTTAATCATTATAATACCTTTGCCTAAGTCCATGTTTGTGATGAATACATCTTTGATTCTTTCCCTTAATAATGAGTTCTATAAGTAGAATTATTAGTTCACCTGAATTTTTTTCTTAGCATTGATGTATTTTTTTAATGTTCATTCTTTAATCTCTCTAATAAAATAGCAATATGCAAATTAACCATCACTCTAGTACACCCACAAGCCACACCCACCAGCCAATCGGGAGCAAGTATGAAAATTAACCCCAACCAAGATTGCTGTGGCCACAGAGTGAACAGGAGGCTTGTGTTTCCCTGGCAATGGAGGAAGCCAAGCTTTCCACACACCCTGGTGGGCTCTGGCCTCCACTCAAGGCTACAAAGTTTCAATTATAGAAGATAAATCCCAAGAAAAATGGTGGCAGCCCCGGAGCTGAAGAGAACAGGTGGTTTGAGTTGCCCCCGGCAATGGAGAAAGCCAAGCTTTCCACACACCTTGGTGGGACCAGGCCTCCACTCAAGGCCACGAAGTTTCAATTATAGAAGATAAATAAATCCCAACAAAAATGGCCGTGGCCATGGAGCAAGCAGGAGGCTTGGCTCCACTCCAGGCTGCAAAGTTTCAATTATAGAAGATAAGTAAATCCCAGATACCAGGGCCTCCCAGATACTTGGGTCGCTGGGGGATGTGGCCAGCCTGCAAACCACCACAAGCTCCTTGCCCAGGCCGCCCCATGCCCCAAGGGAACCCCGACCATGATCCAGAACACCCTTCAGGGCAAACCAGCTGGCCGCCTCCCATGTACCAGGCCTCTATCCTATCTTAATAAAAGAGTAATATGCAAATTGACTGTCACTCCAACACATAAGATGGCTGCCCCCATGTAGTCAAAGATCCTGCCCCCATGTGGACACAAGATGGCCAGCAGGCGAAGGCAGTTGCGAGGGACTAGGCCTGTAAGGGAGGGCAGTTGTGGGAGATCAGACCAACAGGGGAGGGCAGTTGGGAGGGACCAGGGCTGCAAGGGAGAGCAGTTGGGGGCAATCAAGCTTCAGGGCAGGGCAGTTAGGGATGACAGAGCCGGCAGAGGAGGGAAGTTGAGGGCGACCAGGCTTGCAGGAAAGGGCAATTGTGGGGACCAGGCTTGCTGGGAGGGCAGTTAGGGGCAAACAGGCTGGCTGGGGAGCAGTTAGGCTTCCATCAGACTGGCAGGGGAGTGGTTAGGGGTGATCAGGCTGGTAGGCAGAAGCGGTTAGGGGCAGGCAGGCAGATGGGCAGTTAGGAGTCAGCAGTCCTGGATTGTGAGAGGGATGTCCAACTGCCCATATAGGATCGGGCCTAAACAGGCAGTCGGACCTTCCTCTGGGTGTCCCAAATTGGAGAGGGTGCAGACTGGGCTGAGGGACACTCCCCCACCCCCTGTGCACGAATTTTGTGCACCAGGCTTCTAGTATATATTATAAATACCTGCTTTTTGTGATCGAGTACTTGGGAGAACAAACAGATAAACATTAAAAAAAGAACCAAGGATTGTTACAATCTAATTAGGGAAGTTATTTTCATAGAATAATTAATTGTAATAAAATATTGAAAGTTATAAATACCAAGAAAAGACGTATTTAAATACTATAGGAATTTAAAGAAAGAAGATATTACTTGCAGCTGCTAGTGGAATGTCTAGGATCTGAAAGATCAGAGAAGACTTATTTAATTAAAATTACGCTTTAATGACATTTCCTGTCAGATTTTTGGGAAAATGTCCAGAGGCCTTCAGCTGAAGAAACTACCATCATTAGAGGAAAGTCAAAGTGCTTACATAGTCTTCAATGGAAAATACCTCTAGATGCTGTTAATTCTTAGTAACAGTTTTCTTTCTTTCCTTTTTTTCTTTTTAAAAATATTTTTTCAGCCCATAGCTTTTTTTTGCTCTGTTCAATGGCATCTGGAACCTCTTGATATCTCCATTTTACCATCTTTTTAGTTCAATTGTAGTATGTGTCTTCAGTCCTTTTCTTGAGTTCTCCATTTTATCAATTACTCAGGTATAATATGTTTGAGCAGCTCATTAATATGCTGGATATGATGAGAGATACAAAGGCGGTATAAGAAATATCTGATTTACTGGAAAAAATGCATAGCAAATGAAAAATAAAAGTTAACAATTAAGTTCTAATTTATTTGTGTGTGAAACAAATGTTAAACACTGTGTACAGGTACTATTGTTAGAGTTAGGAAAGGTTAGGAGACAAAATTAAGATAATTGAGACAGAAAGAAAATTAACCAATAAAAATTGACTCCATGAAAATTGAGCCTGGGCTACTATGGAAATTAATGACGCTATGCACAGTGACAGGGAAGTTGGGCTAGACATACTGGATGAGTGGATAGGATGAATTATTGTCAATGAACATATAAACTGTCTTTCAAAAAATACCATTGAAAGAGAAATAGAGAAATGTGATTTTTTTTTCCCTATATAGAAGGAAGTTGTATGTATACCTTTGAAGAACAAGGAGAAAAAAAGCCAATTGAAAATGTTATAGAAATAAGGATTATGTGTAGGGAACAAGAGATACTTAAAAAATGGAGGCGTTAATCTCAAGTGGTTTTGTTTCTTAGTCAAGTTGGAGGAGAGGTCATTTGTTGGAAGTAATGATAGCTGTTTGCAGTTGAAGTCTTAAGTAAAGAAAATGGCCGAAACCGGTTTGGCTCAGTGGATAGAGCGTCGGCCTGCGGACTGAGGGGCCCCAGGTTCGATTCCAGGCATGTACCTTGGTTGTGGGCATATCCCCAGTGGGGGGGCTGTTCAGGAGGCAGCTGATTGATGATTCTCTCTCATCGATGTTTCTAACTCTCTACCCCTCTCTCTTCCTCTCTGTAAAAAATCAATAAAATATTTTTATTAAAAAAAATAAAGAAAATGAATTATATTTACAATAGCCATTATGGGGAAATTTGTCAGGAAATCAAAGATTTTCTATAAAAGGATGGATGGGCATTGGAAAGAAGTTAATTGAAAATAGATCTGTAGTCAGGCTATGTTTTTCTCTTGAGTTCTTTATTACCTTGGAGCAGGAATGGAAAAAATAAAATGATGGTAGGTAAAGAAAATAACATAGTGTTAGAGTCAGATTTGAAATTGAATTCCTTTTATATATATTATTAGATATATGACTTTAGTTAAGTTATTTAATCATGAGATCTTGTTGGAAAATCCCTAGTTAAAAGTTCTGTAAATATTTCCCCCCCCCCCCCCCCAAAAAAAAGAGTGAGCCATAGCCAAAGATGGCATGATAAGAGTTAAATTAGAAAGTAAGGGTGACATTTAAGGACCTATTTGTTCCAGGCTGATTAAGAACTCTAGGCATGAAAAAATTGTTTGACTGAATAAAAAGTGAGAGTTGAATGATTAAAGGTCCAGGCATAGGTATGGTGATATGGGAGTAATGATAGTTAAGGAATCATGGTGCAAAAGAGGAATGGTGCCTTCACTGTAGAAGCCTGTATGTGCCAAATAGGGAATGGGTGAGGAGTTGTAGAGAGAAAAGAACTAGGGAAGTAACATTCTGTGTTTTATTAATAGAATCTGTGAAAGTGATAGTTGGATAGACCTTAATTCAGGTGCTGAAATATATTTCAGAGATAAGGATATGAAATCTGTTGTGTGGTTTAAAAAAAAGAAAAGAAGAGGAAAAGTCATGATTTAGTGAGGGTGGTGTAAGACTTGGTAATGAGAAACTAAGTGAGGATGGTGATCTCATGGTCCTGAGGTGGTAATCCCACCCATTCTGTCTGATCTAGAGAGACGGTTGAATTTCTATAGAAGACAATTTCTGTTTGCCAAAGAAAACAAAGTCTGAGAAATTGGTAGATTAAGAGAATTTTCCAATAAAAGGAAAATTAGGTGAATGGATGAATATGATTGAGTGAGGGATATGTAGATTAGAAAGCCCTAAAAATTCAGATTTAGGATAACTAGAAGGAGATTTGTGTTTCATAAAGGGTTTCTAGAGAAAGTGATAAGGGAAGCATTGAGAAGGGAAGCAGATTGGAACTATTGTGAGAGAGAGAGTGTGTAAGATAATAGAGTTGAGACTGGTCAGGAGTCTTGGCATTGCTACTGAGTGTGATTATGGACAAGTTAATCTTTGTGCCTCAGTTACTTTCAGAATTAAGGGACTGAACGAGACCTCTGAGGTTCAGTTAGGTCCCTCTGAGATCCCTGTTTATAATTCTAGAGCATTGACCAATTGTGTAATGATGGCAAGATTATATTTCTGCATTATCCAATATAGTAACCATTAGCTACATATGGCTGTTGTGCACTTGAAATGTGACTAGTGTGATTAAGGAACTGTATTTTTAATTTTTTAAATTTGTACTTTAATAGCCACTTGTGCTACTGGCTACCATATTTGGCAGCACAGTGTAGATATATCATTCTTGGGTTAATTTCTTTCCTACATCAATGTCTTCTATGCCTTTCTGGCAGTTGCCATCTGGCCGAGTTATTTTACTATAATTGATTTGTTAAAATAAGAATGAAAAAGAGTATTGTCTTCTCCTAATATTATCTACTAAATAGCTTACCCACTAACTAGTGATTCAAACTTTTAAAAATGACAACTAGCCGAGACCGGTTTGGCTCAATGGATAGAGCGTCGGCCTGCGGACTGAAAGGTCCCGGGTTGGATTCCAGTCAGGGGCATGTACCTTGGTTGTGGGCATGTCATCTGTGGGGGTGTGCAAGAGGCAGCTGATCGATGTTTCTCTCTCATTGATGTTTCTAACTCTGTCCCTCTCTCTTCCTCTCTGTGAAAAAAAAAAAAATAAAAAAAAAATATATATATATAATAAATAAAATAAAAATGACAACTAAATATGACAGAGTTAAGTTTTGTGTGTTTTTTTTTAATCAATGAATTGTTTTGATTTTATAGTATAGTACTTAGAGACAGTGAATAGTGTTAATGTATTTAGGTCTTTGATATGAGCAATACTCAGATTTTGTGTTCGTTTCCACATTTCCTCAGACTATCATAGAACTCTCTGAAGAGCGGGACGGTCTTCATTTCCTACCCCACGCCTCTTCGTCCGCACAGTCACCCTGTGGTTCTCCTGGCATGAAGCGGACAGAAAGTCGACAACATCTGTCAGTGGAACTGGCAGATGCTAAGGCCAAGATAAGAAGGCTGAGGCAGGAATTGTAAGTTGCCAGTTTTCGTGGTTCATTGAATTTATATGGTTGAAAGGTGACCTCAACAATATTTTTAGGCTTATGGCATAGAGATAGTAGTTCTTAATTGCTGGCCTGAATCACAATTTTATTAGTTTTTGTCGAAATGAGAAAAATAAGGAAACCAGCATTAAATTTTCTTAATGCTAAATCTTAAAAATTTAAAGGATGCCCTTAATTCCAGATTTATGCTCTACTTACCTAGTGATAAATGCCCTTTCTTTTATAAAATAATGCTCTTCCTTGGCATATTGGGATCTCCTTAATGTTTTTATTTTTACATGCTTTAAATAAAAAACATTGACAACCTCTGATACAGATCAATAAGTTTAGCTCTTTTAAAATTAATGTTTTAGCCCTGGCCTGTGTGGTTCAGTTAGTTGGAGCATCATCCTGTGCATTGAAAGGTGGTGAGTTCGATTCCAGTCAGGGCACATACCCAAGTTGTGGATTCCATCCCCTGGTCGGGGCATATTAGGGAGGTGGCCAATAATCAATCAATCAATCAATCAATCTCTCTCTCTCTCTTTCTCCCTCTCTCTCCTTTTCCCCCCTCTCTTTCTCCCCCTCTCTCCCTCCTTCTATCTCTCCCTCTCTCTAAAATCAACAAAAATACAATACATATAAAAGATAAAATTAATGTTATAAAATGCCGAATTGTTGACATACAGTTTTACAAATAATTTTGTGTGTGTATCTTCTACATTGAGTAATTGAGATGCCTGACTCATGTACTTAGCACTGGTAAGTATTCAGATTGGTTAGTGCTGGTGAAATTTTATCTTTCAAAGAACATTACAGAGAAGTCAGTATGTGTCACATAGGCATTCCTTGGTGAATCACATGTAAAGACATGACCAATCTCTGCTAGGGATTTTTTATTTTGCACTTCAAAAAGAACAAAGGATTTTTGTGTTTGGGGCTTTTTCTTTTTGTTGTTTTCTTCCCTGGAATTTGGGCTTTAGAATATAGATTTAAATTTAAAGTCACAATATAGCGATTGAGTTTATTTATTAATTGTTTAAAGCAGTTGGTTTAAGAAACTGATTAAATATGCAAGGTAGAAAAATACACAGTTTATGGAAAAATGTGGGGGGAAAAATACAGCCTACATTGTGGATGTCTGCTTTATTATGTATCTATTGAAGTGAACACTCCCAAGATATTCTATAAACAGCTGCACCAGGAAAATTAGAGAAGCGATTGCTGTTATTAGTTTGACTGGCAGTTAATGGATAGTCTAAACAGTGAACACTAGTTTGTTCCATATAATTTAGCACCATCTTCTTTAGATAAAGCATGTAATTAGAACTGCAACGCTGGCTGTGAATTCATTTAACATTTTGCTCTATATTAGAATTTGATTTTTAAATGAAAATTACTTGGTCATGGAGTGTATTAAAATTCCAAACATCTTAAAAGAGATTGATAAGATTTGGTCTTTCATATGCTGATTGGAAAATGTAAAAAAAATTTATTAATAAGTAAATATGCTGTATATAGCAAGCATTCCCAATAATTAGCATTTCATCAGATATTATAGTATCTAATATCTTTGTTGTCCTTGAAAATTTGTTCCTTGGTGGATTTCTTCCATTATCATTTGTTTTTGCTAAGACATATCTTGACTAAAATGATGAAGTATGAAAATCAGGATGGATAAAAATAGTTCAGATTGCCTTAGACCTAATGAAATAAATAATTGTAATGAGATCATGCAAATTAACTAATAACTTACTTATTGGTGTTACGTTATAATACAATTGCTTTTGATTTATTAACATACAGAGTAAAAGTATTATTTGCATTTTGGCTGGAAGAAATAATTTCCTTTTTTTACTTTTTATTTAATTTAATTTTTTATTTAATAAATCTTTATTGTTCAGATTATTACAATTGTTTCTCCTTCCCCCCCCCCATAGCTCCCCTCCACCTAGTCCTCACCCCACCCTCTGCCCTTACCTCCCCCTCCTCTTCATCATCCATAGGTATATGATTTTTGTCCAGTCTCTTCCCGTACCCCCCACATAGACACTCCTTTCCCCCTGAGAATTATCAATCTCCTCCCATTTTATGCCATTGATTCTATTATATTTACCAGTTTATTCCGTTCCTCAGATTTTTAATTCTTTTAGATTCACTTGTTGATAGATATGTATTAGTTGTTCATAATTTTTCTTTCCTTTTTTTTTCTTTTTCCTCTTTTTAAAGAACACCTTTTAGCATTTCATATAATACTGGTTTTGTACTCTTAGCTTTTTCTGAAGTGTGAAGCTCTTTATCTGCCCTTTAATTCTGAATGATAACTTTGCTGGGTAGAGTAATCATGGTTGTAGGTTCTTGCTATTCATCACTTTGAATATTTCTTGCCACTCCCATCTGGCCTGCATAGTTTCTGTTGAGAAATCAGCTGATAATCGTATGGGTGCTCTCTTTGTCTTTTGCTCTTGGCATTTTAATTATGATGTGTCTTGGTGTGTTCCTCTTTGGATTCCTTTTGTTTGGGGTTCTGTGCGCTTTCTGGATTTGTAAGTCTATTTCTTTCACCAGGCGGGGGGAGTTTTCTGTCATTATTTCTTCAAATAGGTTTTCCGTGTCTTGCTCTCTCTCTTCTTCTGGCACCCCCATAATTCTGATGTTGGTACTCTTGAAGTTATCCCAGAGGCTTCGTACACTATCTTCAACTTTCTGAATTCTCTTCTCTTCTTGCTTCTCCAGAGGAGTGTCCTTTGCTTCTTTGTATTCCAAATCTTTGACTTGATTCTTGCATTCCTGTAGTCTGCTCTTGGGTCTCTGTATAATATTTTTTATTTCAGTCAGTGTATGTTTAATTTCTAGTTGGTCCTTTTTCATATTCTCAAGGTTCTCTTTAAATTTATCGGCCTTTTCTAGGAAATACTTGAAAAACCTTATAACTGTGGTTTTGAACTCTGTCCACTTAAGTAAATTAATTATGGTTCCTCTGTCAAAGGGATTATTTTCCATTAAAAAATATAATTTTGAATATACCTGAAACCTGTATAATTTTATTAACCAATGTCACCCTCGTACAATTTAAAAAAACATTAAAAACATAAATTGGATGTGCTAAAAAAATACCTTAGAAAGTTGAAAAGTAGAGATAATGGAAACTTGATTTTGAGGAGGTTGGCTCCGAAGGGAAGATAGAAAACAGAAAATAAAGAAGTATAAAGAGAAAAAAATTAGGAAAAATTTGAGGATGTTTATGGGCTTCAGGAAAGAAACCAATAGAATTGTAAAGATTTAGGTATTTGTGTGGCAGGGTATAATTTCCTTTAGGCCATTGTGAACGTTGAAAATAGTTTGGAGACGTTTATAAGTCTCAGACCCAGATAGTATTGCATTGCATAAAAATTTGTTCAGCTTATTTGGTTTTGACTATGAAAGAGGGAGAAAGAGAAAGAAGAATGGGAATGGGAGATATCAGGAAAGATGGAGAGAAACTACCTTATGAACTCTGAGGATGCTAATTATTGAGGTTTGCCTTTTGGAGAACTTTAGAGGGAGTTTTATTGATGACATCAAATCACATAAATTCCTAAAATCCATTTCCTTATCTTTTTCCCCTGGGTTGGAGTCACTGTGTTCAACTAGACATTTAGTAATAGTAATTTGTATTCATGAAGGTGATTATAATTTTTAAAAGCAGTAAGCTTACTTTTTAATTAATGTTTTTTTTATTTAAGGGAGGAAAAGACTGAACAGTTGCTGGACTGCAAACAAGAACTTGAGCAAATGGAAATAGAACTAAAAAGGCTGCAGCAAGAGGTTTGTACCTGAAACTTTTATTACATAGGACCACTAAGTAATTGTAAATTGATTTTTCTCCTTTTAATTTCTAACGTTTACCTTAATACTTTCTGAGGTTACTGAGACTTCAAGAGATCTGATTATTTTTTTCAGTGTTTTTCTCTTCAAAAATGCCAAAGCCAAAACAGAAATCGTGGTCTGTGGACCTTATTTCCCCCCCCCACCCCCCTTTATATTAGTGCTGTTTAAACTTTGTTAAGATTCAAAGGTGCCTCAGAGGACTAGGGCAGTTCCAAGTTTCTCTTTTTTATGTAATTGGCTTCTGTGGGCTTGGAAGGTAGAACAACTACACTATAAATTGTGGCTGCTAATATATATCTCCCTAGGTCTCCACTCTCTGATGGTACTTTATGTTATATAAGACAGAATGCCTTTAATTTTTCATTCTTTTCCTATTAAATAAGATAAAACTTTTTACTTAAAAATTTTTTGCTAAAGCTTGTTTTCTTTGCATCTTAAACCAAGATTTGTTTAAGAATTCACTTCTTTTAATCACTCCATAATGTTTTGTTTTCATTGGTACGAATTAAAGTAAAGCTAGACAATTTTCTTTCCCGTACCTTCCCTAATCTGCGTTTTAACTTCAGGGAATACCGCACTTGCAGGATCATAAACTGGGACTTTTCTCTTTGTTTTTTATTTTTTGACCTTTCAGATCTGTGAGATTGGACATGATAATCTTTATTTCTAGATATGCGGTGTCTGCTCTTCCACATCTTGGTAACAGGGTTTTTTTGTGTCATTGTTACCTCCAAAACAGTGGTCTCAATCTTTTTGGTCTCAAGACTTTCTTCCACTCTTAAAAATTGGTGAGGATTATTCCTACTGGTATTTACTATATTAAAAATAAGAGCTAAGAATTTAAAAAAAATATTTATTAATTCATTTTAAAAACAATATTCAACCCATTCCATCCTATATAATAAAAACCTGATATGTTAAGTGTCCAGTTGTCTGTTCAACCAATCAAAGCATAATATGCTAATGATATGCTAAGGCCACTTAACAGCTCACTATGACGTGCACTGATCACCAGGGGGCAGACGCTCTAACTGGTAGGTTAGCTTGCTGCTGGGGTCTGGCAGACCAAAACTGAGTGAGATGGGCCAGACAATGCCCTGGGACCCTCCCTGGCTGGCCAACCTCCTGTGTCTCTCCCCAGCCCTGATTGTGCACTAGTGGTGTTCCTCAGCCTGGCCTGTGCCCTCTCGCAACCCAGGATCCCTCGGGATGTTGGAGAGCCGGTTTAGGCCCAATCCCACAGGCCAGGCCGAGGGACCACTGGTGCAGGAATTTGTGCACCCGGCCTTTAGTGTTAAAGTTTAAAGTATAAAGTTTATATTTTAAGTAAATATTATTTTACAAAACAAAAACTAGAATGTACTCTTAACATTTTTGCAAATCTCTTTAATGCCTGCCTTAATTGAAGACTACTAGGTTCTGGAATCTACTTCTGAATTTATTCAGTTAAGATACTACATGCCATGTAGCTTCAGAAAAGTCTACTGTGTCCTCATGAGAGAATGAGAGTGAAAAAGATAAATAATGTATTAGGATTGTTTTGAAAATAGTTTTGACCTTATGAACTTCCTGAAAGGATTTCAGGAAACCACAGAAGTCCCTATATCACACTTTAATAACTAGTGTTCTAAAGGATTAAGGATTACAAGAAGGCTTTTTTGAATTTTAATATTTGACTCAAATGGCATTAAGATATGTATTAAACATATGCACTAATCACTTTACTTGGAAGCATTAAAAAACCAGCAGGATTTTAGTATGTTACAGTATATCTGAATAGGACCATTATTTCTCTAAAGTAACTAATGATCAACTATAATAATACAGTTTGGCTCTTTTTTGTGTTTCCTGTCCTGTATTTTAAAGTTAACTTTCTTTTAATATTAAATTAATTGCAAATGGTTATGTTAGGTAAAGGTTAACTTATTTTAAAACATCCTGAATATTTTTTACATACCAAATTTCTTAGAGTAGAAGGGGGAGGTAAAGCAGGGTGGGGGGAGGGGACAGAAAGAAAGAGATAGACACACACACACACAGACAGACAGACGTGGATGTGAAAAAGACACATCGAATGGTTGCCTCCTGCACACACCCCTACTGGGGCCAGAGATTGAGCCTACAACCCAGGTATGTGCCCTTGACTGGGAATTGGAACCCAACACCCTTTGGTACATAGGCCCAGGCTTTAACCACTTTGTCACACTGGCCAGGGCTATATCTCCCCATATTAAAAAATAACTTAATGGAGGTATAATTTACATAACACAAATTCACACTTCTAAAGTATATAATGTATTGATTTTTTAGTAGATTCATCAAGTTGTGCGACCAAGGAAATAGAAAGTAATATTTAAAATATTGATACTTATTTATGTTTAGAACATGAATTTGCTTTCGGATGCTCGCTCTGCAAGAATGTATCGAGATGAATTAGATGCACTTCGAGAGAAGGCAATCAGAGTTGATAAGCTTGAAAGTGAAGTCAGCAGATATAAAGAAAGGCTACATGATATTGAGTTTTATAAAGCAAGAGTTGAGGTATGTTGTACAATTTAAACCATTCACAATTTATTTCTTTAAAAAGTGTTATGATTTTCAAAATTCAATGAAAATGCTTTTAATAAATGAATGGAGTTGTTGAAATGTTTAGAAAACTATAAATACATTTAGATGTTTATTTTATGATAGATTAGCCTGTTGCTTAGAATTTTAAAAGGGGATACTTGGACATTATTAATTTTATTTAAGTCTTGGGGCTCTTCTTTCATCCCTTTATTTAACATTATAGGTAGAGCAGATTTTTGGTCCTTCCCTCCTAGTCAAAATAAAATGTTTCTCTTACTAATTTTAAACTTGTCCTAGGAGTGAAAACAGACATATTGCTGACTCAATTCAGAATGCTAAATTAGGATCAACAAAGTCACTTGTGTGTACACATCTGCTCATACACTCTCTCAATAAATCATATAAACAAATTAGAAGAAATGTTTTTCTATACTGAATGATTATTGTACAATGTTGCATGAAGTTAGTTTGACATTGACAATTAAAAATTGATAATCTTTGCATCTGCATCCTTTTTTCCTTTCTTAGTTAATTTCTTCATTGTCTGCAAACAGTGGAGATCTTGGTCATGTTTATTATGAGGATAAGAAGGAAGGACTATGCAAAAATTAAGAAATGAAAACATTATAAAAAACAGAACAGTTGAGCCTGAAAGTTATCAAAAATAGACCAAATAGACTATAAAGATAGGGTACATATTAATTCTTTGCCAATTTTTTAAATAAGTATATGGCACTGTTAAAGGATCTTTATAGATGCCTCTGTTTTAATATACTTTCTCTTTAGTTAGCTTATAAATTATAGGCATAAAGCTTAGCAAGATAGATTGTGAGCATATGTCTTCAAAAAGATGTAGGGATTTAAAACATGTTCTCAAGATGCATATGTAAAATATTTATTAATAGAGCCTTTATTTATGATTTATGTGAGTATTAGTTCAAAGTCTTGGAATTTTACTCAAAAACCCAAACCCTTCACTTTTAAGTTACAGTTTAAGTGGAGAGAATTCTTTAAATCTATTTCAGCAAATAAATTAAGTTCTAATTCTATGGAGATTTATATCTTAAATATCTTCAAGACTCTCTATACTTAGTTTGTTTTCCTTGTGATTAAGGGATTTAAATGTACCCTGACAATTTTATGTGAAATTATAGTGAGTGTTTTGTTTGCATAATAGCTTAAAAATTTTTTTGGGGGGTGGTGGTGTTCTAAAGCCAAGAAAATGTCAACTGTGTTTTTATTACTTAGTAGCTTTACTCTTGCACAGAATTGTTAATAAAGACAGATTAATGTCTTTTTTAAATAAGTTTTTATTGATTTTTTTTTTTAGAGGAAGGGAGAGGGAGAGAGACATTGATGAGACAGAAACATCAGTTGGCTGCCTCCTGCATGCTCCCCATGGTGGGGGTTCAATCCTGAAATCACGGTATGTGCCTTGATTGGGAATAGAATTGACAACCTCTTGTGCGTAGGTCGATGCTCAACCACTTGAGCCCCTCTGGTCAGACAGATGAATTTTTATGTTTCAAACTTTGAAAAATTAACAGATATTAACATGTTTGTGATAAAGCCTATTTGAAATGTTTTAGGAATTAAAAGAAGACAATCAAGTTTTGCTAGAAACAAAAACCATGTTGGAAGACCAATTAGAAGGAACTCGAGCTCGTTCTGATAAATTACATGAATTAGAAAAAGAGAATTTACAACTAAAGGCTAAACTGCATGATATGGAAATGGTAAGAATTGTAAGGTGGATCAATTACATGACCTCTAAGAAAGCATTCTAAGAGTCATCTGATTTCCCTGTAATGACAAAGGATGGTAGTGTCTTAGATGCTTTAACAAAGAAGAGATAAGCTAAATAAATTCAGTGCTTGCAATTTTGTATGGACATGGGAGTAGTGGAAATTTCTGCTTTTATTATAAAGGGGTGTTATTGGTGTATTTTAAAAATAAACTTTAATAAGCTATTTTGTAAAATGCCTTTAAAATACAGAAATAAAACTATTTAGCATTGAGTCAGAATCTCTTGTTATATTACTAAATTAATATACTGCGAAGAAATGTTTTCCATGTCCCCAAAGGTCACTTTAAAAGGATATCAGACACCTGGTCAGTATAATGACCAATTGTGATTATAATAACTGGTTATTGCCTTTAAACTGTGAAAATTTTAAGTGATTCAAAATTTATCCTCATTATTTAGTTTAAGTAATAAAGTATGAGCTTGAGATTGTACTGTTTCTTAGCTTTCTTTTTTTTCCTTACTCCCGGCCAACAAAAAGGAACGCGATATGGATAGAAAAAAGATTGAAGAATTAATGGAAGAAAATATGACTTTGGAAATGGCACAGAAACAAAGTATGGATGAATCATTACATCTTGGCTGGGAATTAGAACAAATATCCAAAACTAGTGAACTTTCTGAAGGTATTCCCAATATTGTTTTACTTAAGTGGATTGGTGAATAAATAAGTTGAATTTATGCTTACATTTCTGGATATTTCATTGCAGTTATTTTCCCTAGCTAGAGATGTCTCAGCAGGCCAACTGCCCCTAGCTATGATTTCACAGAGCAATATGTTATTTCCACATTGCTGGGTCTGATTATGTTTACTTGACTTACAACAAAACTTTTTTTTGAGTGGAATCACAGATTTTTGATCGGTTGTTTAGGCATTATTTTATGTTAGTATCATAAGAAACTAGAATAGCAATTTATTAATTTATTTTGAGAAGTATAGCCATCTACTAAATAGAACAGAAAAGTCATATTAACTGGTCAGCTATATTTTTACTCCATTCAAACCTAAATAGGAAGTCAGAATTAATGGGAAGAGTTTTAAGTGAATATGTAGCCAGAATAGAACAAGTTAAGGATCTCCATGGCTATGTTTATCAGTATATGAGGAGAATTATCTCCATTTTAGGGTTATACCTACCAACCACTCTAGCCCGTTATACCCTGGAGTTAATGAAAGACACCCCTGCCCCCAAATAAATTTTTAACTCTTGACTCTTTTTTCTTAAGCTCCACTATTGACTTGTCTTTTGTCCTAAAACTGGGCATATACTATACAATAAAGTTGTTTGGATTATAGCTGTGATTATGCTAATACTGATATACTTTCTTGAAATTACACTCAGGTCCCATTTATTTGAATTAGACAGGTTCCATAACTCCTTACTTACCCAATATTAGATTCTGCCACCTGCTTTCCTTCCTTCAGCAGGTATTTATTAAGCACCTACCGTGTGTAAAATACTATACCAGGCCCTGAGGATATAGTGGTGGCGTGGTAGACCTAAAGTCTGACGACGGTTCACAGTCTGGCTCTTGCAGAATAATTACTTCTCCACATGTCTCGTATTTGTCACCATTAGACTTTTTCTAGTTTTACAGTTGAGAATCTAATTTCGAATTCTAGGACCCTAGGTAAATTCCCTACGTAGTAAGTGATGATGTTTATCCAGTGGGTTTGCTAAGAGATAACTTAAAATATTTATGGAACTTCTTTTATTGTATTCCTTGTGAATTGAGTTACAAAGAAAGCAATTCAGACTTAAATGTTTTCTAAACATTTCTAAACATTCAAAAGTAGTTAAAATTTCGCTGTTTCGAGTTCCGTTTGTTAAGTGAGGACATTAATAGTAAGTACCTTGAAGGGTTGTTGTGAGGGTTGAATTTCTTAATACTTAAAAAAATAGTGCCATGTATATAGTAAGCATGTGAATGTTGATCATTATGATGATGATCATTATATCAGTAGTTTTGCAGTTGTTCTTAGCTGGGGTCACATACCTGAATATTTGTTTTAATGTGGTGTCATTTTTGTTTGTTTGTTTTTTAAATGTACAGGGCTTTTCTTTCTAGAAAATTTGTAGAATATGGAAAAATATAAAGGAGGAAATCAAAGTCCCTAATGATTTCTTAAATCATTTTCATATTGAAAAAACTTTCTTCTAAATTTTGTACACAGACATAGGATTTTAGACATCAGGTTAATGCGTATGCACAATTTGGATTCCTTTTTGAACCTAAGACTATAATGCAGGCATTCTTTAATATTGTTAAAAATGTGTTGTAAGCATTCGTTTTAATTCTCATAGTCTGACTTGAAGCTTCTTTGAAGTATATTCATAGTATTCATGGTATTCAAAGTATTATTGAGATATATCATGTATTTTAGCCTAATTTTTTAATTTAAATTCTTTATTGTTTAAAGCAGTACATAAGTCTCCTTTTTCCCCCATTAACCCCTCCCCAGCTGTCCCCACCCTCCATTCTGACAGGTGTGAGATGGTACCATATTGTCATTTTGATTTGCATCTCTTGGATGATAAGTGACTTTGAGTATCTTTTCCTGTATCTCTCGGCCTTCTGTATGTCCTCTTTCGAAAAGTGTCTATTTAGGTTCTTTGCCCATTTTTTATTGGGTTGTTTATCTTCCTTTTGTTAAGTTGTACGAGTTCCCAATAAATTTTGGAGATTAAACACTTATCAGAGATAACATTGGCAAATATGTTCTCCCATGCAGTGGGCTTTCTTGTTGTTTTGTTGATGGTTTATTTTGCTGTGCAGAAGCTTTTTATTTTGATGTAGTCACATTTCTTTATTTCCTCCTTGGTTTCCATTGCCCTAGGAGCTGTATTGGTAAAGATACTGCTACAACAAATGCCTGCTATTTTGCTGCCTATGGCTTTTTCTAGGATTTTTATGGTTTTCCGTCTTATGTTTAAGTCCTTTATTCATTTTGAGTTTGTTTTTGTGTATGGTGGTCTAGTTTCTTTTTTTTTTTTTTTGCATGTATCTGTCCAATTTTCCGAACCATTTATTGAAGAGACTGTCTTAACTCCATTGTAATTTCATGCCTCTTTTGTTAAATATTAATTGAGCATATTGGCTTTGGTCGATCTCTGGGTTCTCTCTTCTGTTCCATTGGTCTCTATGCCTGTTCTTGTGCCAGTACTAGGCAGTTGTGAGAACAGTGGCTGTGACCTAGCCTAACCTTGTTAATTTGAAATGCATAACTACAAGTCATTTACTAGAGTTTTACTAGAGAAGACGTGGACAACTTTGGAATTTAAAAAGTCAATGATTATCTAGTATACCAGTTTTTAATAAAAAATTAACAGTATGTAACTGGAAATAAAAATTCTTTACTTAAAATCTGGGGGACACCCTAGCTGGTTTGACTCAGTGGATAAAGTGTCAGTCTGTGGATTGAAGGGTCCTGGGTTCCATTCTGGTCAAGAGCATGTGCCTGGTTGCAGATTCATCCTCAGTACAGGGAGTGCAGGAGGCAGCCAATCAATGATTCTCTCTCATCATTGGTGTTTCTGTCTTTACCTCCATCTCCCTTCCTCTCTGATTCAATAAAAATATAAATAAATAAAATCTGGGGGATATTTTACCATACCTAATTCTATAAAGAATGTATGCTTTTGAGGGAGTGTGTGTGTGTGTGTGTGTGTGTGTGTGTGTGTATTTATTTATTTGCTTTTCTGCGATGGAGAATTTCAAACATACATAAAAGTTGGCAGACCTAGAAATGCCTTTCCATACTTCTACCCATTGCCCTTCCAAAAATTTAGGATTTTAAAATAAATTCTAGGCATTATATTTCATTTGTAAATCCTAATATCATCAAAATATTCAGTGCATCTGCTATAAGATTATTAAAACAAAATTATTTGTGGCTTCCTGGAGAGCATCATTTACAGAATTAGAAACTGAGTTTTCTTATTTTAAAACATGTAATGCTGAAATCTACTTAGAAACATGATTGTCCTTGACAAAATGGAGTAGTTATTGCTCTTTACACTTAGCGTAATAGGGATTCTTTAGAGAAAGACTTCTTCAAGGTGACCAGTGTATACCGTCTTGCCTTTTTCAGAATCAGATAAGGATTTTCTCCTCTTAAACTGTCTAATTTTTTTTGAAAGTGTGGCATGGGATATGCTTTATACTTCTTGTTTGAACCACACATGACTATAGATACACAGGGCCATAACTATTTATACACGTAACCTAAGACTCATTGAAGTTAAAGTGGCTTGATTTTTCAGGTCAATTTCTCATGGCACTAGAACTGGAATTCTAGTCTCTTTGGTCTAAATTTTGTAACACACCCTCCTCCCCAGTGGAATGCTTAAGGATGTATTAAAATTTAGGATTTATCTGTCTTTTATCTATCTGTTTTTATCATTGTGTCGATCTTGTATAACTTTATAAATTTTTTACATAGTTAAGGACTAAGTGATGTACTGCATATACACTCAACATTTTAAATAATAAAGAGTAAATATAGGTTTACCAATGACTTTATTTTTCAATATTATAGCACCACAGAAATCTTTGGGCCATGAGGTGAGTGAATTAACATCAAGTAGGTTACTGAAGTTGGAGATGGAAAACCAGAGTTTGACAAAAACTGTAGAAGAGCTTCGAAGTACTATGGATTCTGCAGAAGGAAACACTTCCAAAATCCTGAAAATTGAAAAAGAAAATCAAATATTAAGTAAAAAGGTAAATAAAAATGAATCTTCAATCTTAAAAAAATGTATGTAAAAATATAAATAAATAGCACTGTAGTAAAACATTCTCCAATTTTTAATGTTCCCTCAATTATTATTTTAACTTATTATGAAATTTTTAACATTTATAAATGTAAAGTAAGTGAACTATATTCGTTTTTTTTTTTTTTTTAATGTGTTTTACTGTAGGCCTAATCAGGTTCAAATTGAGTTTTTGGTAAGTATTCGTAAGGAGTGTATGTACATATGTCAGTTAGGAGGTACATGTTTAGTTGTCTTTTTGTAGTATTGTCATGGAAAATCATTTGCTTGGATCCCTTATTCAGAGATTGCAAAATCATGATTTTCTAATTATATCATCCCTTCCTAATGTGGTAGATAGGGTATTCCTATAAAGGAAAAATTTTTAAAGCTACTCTTTAAAGCACATGTGTCAAACACAAGGCCCGTGGGCCAAATCCATCCCGCCAGGCCTTGCAATGTGGCCCGCACCGCGCTGTCATCACTGCACTCCGCTGCGTTTCCATCACAATGACAGTTTATGACTGTTCAGTAAACCATTTGGCCCGCGATTTAGGCTGGATTTTAGATTTTGGCCCCTTCTCTGATTGAGTTCGACACCCCTACTTTAAAGAAAGCACTATTGGTTATTCTGGGAAATAGCCTATGGGAAAAGCAGGATGAATGTTTGACCCTATCCTTTATTTTCCAGTTTCCTAATAATAAGTTGGTTTTCTCATATCCTCCTGAGATAATTGAGTGAGTTTGTTGTTTTAGTGTCATTATTAACTTGCGGATTTAAGATTATTTAAAGTGTTTCAATCCACTGCCTTTGTTTTTCTTCCTGTCCCAATGAAGCTACTTCCTGAATTCTTAGGACACAACTTTAGCATTCCTGGGGAGCTGCCTTGCTTTCTGCCGGGACAAAATGTTTTGGCACCTAGCCATATCTAGTTTTTCCTTTGATATATTCTGGGTTTGTAGGCTATGTTATGAAAATTGCCCTAACCTTTAGACCAGTGATTTTTGAAATATAGTATACATCAGAATCACCTGTAGGTTTGGAGTGGAGGGCTGATAATTCTCATTTCTAAGAAGTTCCTTGGTGATGCTCATCCTGCTGTTTGGGAACCATGCTTTGAGGGACTGCTGCCTTAGATATGAGAAAGAATCCTTGATTTTCTTGCAAGACTTTTACTTTGTATTTATTTATTTATTTATTATTGATTTCAGAGAGAAAGGGAGAGGTAGAGAGAAACATTAATGAGGAGAGGGAGTAATTTATCGGCTGCCTCCTGCACGCCCCCTACTGGACTTGAAACCTGAGTATGGGTCCTTGACCAGAATCCATCTCAGGACCCTTCAGTCCACAGGCTGAAGCTCTATCCATTAAGTCAAATTGACTAGGACTAGACTTTTACTCTTTTAAAACATTTTTGTATCGTCATTAGTCTATTAACCAAATAATCTTAGTAAGAATTTGACAGTCAATATAGTGTTATAGTAAGAGTGGTCATTTAGAATTTGGATCACTTCTATTTTGGTTGTCATTATAATTGGATCTGTGAATTATAATTTGATTTTGAAAGTAGCTTTGAAGGTCTCTAGTAAGTTCTTAGTGATTCTAGCAATTTTTGATAAATTCATTGGATAAAAGATGTTTTGTAAACTAAATGTTTCACTTGAATTCCACTAATGTAAAACAACATATGAACTTAATTAAAAAACTTATCCATATATTTTAATCATGAAGGGAGAACCAGATTCGTTAGTTATTAATAACTAAAAGCTTCCAAAACATGTAAATGAATGTTGAACTGAGTTATTGGCTAAGATTTGTGACTCGATTCTTTTGAGGCATTATTTGGAGATTATTTTCCATGTGTGGTTATCTTCCATTGATGTTAAAAAGAAAAATATTAAAGAAAAACTTGCTTAATGTAGACTTAAAATTCCTAGATTTCTTCACTATTGACAATAAGATGTAATAAATATTTTTAATAGCTAAATATTTTATATAGAATATTATATATAGCTAAATCTTCTTTATTTTTTTAAATTACCTGGTTTGATGAATATGTTCTATAATAATGGGAAAATCAGTTAATAGCATATTTTAAACTTAAAAATTTTTAATACTTATTATACTTATTAACCACATACTTTATTGTATTTTCAAAATGTACAAATGAAAATAAACTTAAATCCAAAATATAAATTTTTTTTAATATATATTTTATTGATTTTTTTACAGAAAGGAAGGGAGAGGGATAGTCAGAAACATCGATGAGAGACTCATCAATCAGCTGCCTCTTGCACGTCCCCCACCGGGGATGTGCCTGCAACCAAGGCACATGCCCTTGATCGGAATCAACCTGGGACCCTTCAGTCCGAAGGCTGATGCTCTATCCACTGAGCCGAACCGGTTTCGGCCAAAATATAAATATTTGTTGGAGTTTTGTTTTTCTCCAATATTCTCCTTTTTCCTTATTTTTTTTATTTTATTTTAAACCAAGTCCCTTCTTGTTTCTTCATCAAACTCATGCCACTATTTCTCATCTTTTCCTTCATACTTTTTATATTCTCTCTTACTTCTTGTACATCAAAATTCCTTGACTATAAAATTTTACTTTACACTTTCACTTGAGCCAAGAAAGCCTTTCAGTAAGGCTTGTACAGTCTTCACATAGCAGATAATTATCATATGTTAACTTGGATTGTCTGTGTTTACAAGTAGATATTTACCTTCAAAGATGCAGAGGATAAAAAACATAGTCTTGTCTGCATATTTTATATAGCTGCTAAAATTAGCATGGTATATTGAATTTCTCTACTAAATTCTTAAATTTTACCATTTGGGTATTAAAACTGTATTTTATCTTTTAATTCAATAATTATCTTTTGTTTTGATATGTTCCACTGTTTTAAAATACTTAATGATATATTGTCTTGTGACTTACTTTCTCCAGGTTGAAATTCTTGAAAATGAGATTGTTCAAGAAAAGCAAAGTCTTCAGAATTGTCAGAATTTAAGCAAGGATCTAATGAAGGAGAAGGCTCAGCTTGAAAAAACAATTGAAACGCTTAGAGAAAATTCAGAGAAACAGGTTCATAAATTTCTTTTTCTTTTTCTTTTTTAAAAAAATATATTTTATTGATTTTGTACAGAGAGGAAGGGAGAGAGAGAGAGAGAGTTAGAAACATTGATGAGAGAGAGTCATCGATCAGCTGCCTCTTGCACACCCCTTACTGGGGATATGCCCGCAACCAAGGTACATGCCCTTGACCAGAACCGAACCCGGGACCCTTCAGTCTCCATTGAGCCAAACCGGTCTCGGCCAGGTTCATAAATTTCTTATTAAGCATTATATTTTAAAAATTTTTAACAAAAGTTAGTTTGTGCAAATAAAATGTCCATATAATATTAAAGGGAAATATTTTAGAATTTTTATTTTATTTTAAAGTAACTTGTTTATCTCACTTTCTATGCCATGTATTTTAGTAAAGTGAAAGAGAAAGATTAGAATTTTTTAAATTGCCAGTATGATTAATAATTGTATAACATTGTGCAGTACATGTGCTTTTAAGAATCTGTGGGAAATGGCTGTGAAGTAGAGTTGGGAGAAATGGGAGTGGAGTTTGGAGAAATGTCGCTGTGCTCTGACCCCACTTAATAAAGGGAGAAGTGGTGGCAGCAGCCGTCTTGGACACTGTCAAATATATTTTCAAGTATTTACTGACCATTCTCATGCTTGCGAAAACAGAACTGGATAGATTGACTTGCTATTTCAATATTTGTATTATTTATTGTAAAATGATTTGTTTTATGTTATCTAGGTATAACCTTAGGCCACCTATAAAATTAGAAATTTCTGTAGAGCTACAGAACAAAAATTGTAGAGCTAAGTATGAATCTGTACCTTTTACCAGGTTCTCGGGAGCTTGTTCAAAACACTAAATTTTTGAGAACTATTATATTAAGCCATGTCATGAATTGGATTAGTTTTCAAATGTACTAGGGGATTTTATTATTTTGATGTTTCCAAATTAGCATTCTTTTTGGGGTTGAATACATACCCATACACTCCCATATATGATACAGCAAATATTTACTGAGGACCCTCTGTGTATAGGCATTGAAAAATTTATTTGTGCCTGGCTGGTGTGGCTCAATGGCTGGTTGAGTATCAGCCTATTAAGCCGGAGGTCATAGTTTGATTCCTGGTCAGGGCACTTGCTCATTTTCGGACTCAATCCGCAGTAGGAGGCATGCAGCAGGCAGCTGATCAGTAATTCTCATCATTAATGTTTCTCTCTCCTCTGAAATCAATAAAAAATATATTTAAAAATTAAAAAACTATTTGTGTAAAGTAAAAGCTTATATCCTCAAGGAGATATGTATGTATGTTTCCCTGATACTCATATTTGAATTTGAAACATGCAATTAAGTAATCTGAAGATCATTTTTATTGATAATGAACACATATCTCTTAAATATTCCTTTATACGTATTACAAACTTCCTAAAGCCAAGGACATTAGTGATCTGGTAGTACATGTATACAGTGGTCTCTCAGTATTTGTCAGAATTGAAAGTAAGATAGACAATGCTAGCACCCTTTTATGTTACGAGTTCCCTGTTTGTTTTTTTAAAAAGAAATAACTATAATTTAAAATATTGGTTCTTAAGGAGACAAAATGGCAGATTCTGAGCCTTGTCCCGAAGTAAAATATTAGTTCTTGCCCTAGCTGGTTTGGCTAGAGCACATGTGTCAAACACAAGGCCCGCGGGCCAAATCCGTCCCGCCAGGCCTTGCAATGTGGCCCGCACCGCGCTGTCATCACTGCACTCCGCTGCGTTTCCATCACAATGACAGTTTATGACTGTTCAGTAAACCATTCGGCCCGTGATTTAGGCTGGATTTTAGATTTTGGCCCCTTCTCTGATTGAGTTCGACACCCCTAGGCTAGAGTGTCAACCTGCAGACTAAAGGGTCCCAGGTTGCGAGCTGGATCCCAGTAGAGAGCGTGCAGGAGGCAGCCAATCAGTGATTCTATCTCATCATTGATGTTTCTATCTCTCTCTTTCTCTTTCTTCCTCTCTGAAATTAATAAAAATATATTTAAAAATAGTTTAAAATACTTGGTTCTTGTCCAATTAGGTTTTTAATTTTCTCCTTTCTTTTTAAAAATTAGATTAAAATATTGGAGCAGGAAAATGAACATCTGAATCAAACTGTGTCTTCCTTAAGGCAGCGCTCCCAGATAAGTGCTGAAGCAAGGGTGAAAGACATTGAAAAAGAAAATAAAATTCTCCACGAGTCTATCAAAGAAACAAGTAGCAAGTTAAGCAAGATTGAATTTGAAAAAAGACAAATTAGGAAAGAATTGGAACATTATAAAGAAAAAGGAGAACGAGCAGAAGAACTTGAAAATGAGTTGCATCATCTTGAAAAAGAAAATGAATTGTTACAGAAAAAAATAACCAATTTAAAAATTACTTGTGAAAAAATTGAGGCCTTAGAACAAGAAAATTCAGAGCTAGAAAGAGAAAATAGGAAATTTAAAAAAAGATTGGATAGCTTTAAAAACCTTACTTTTCAGTTAGAATCCCTAGAGAAAGAGAATTCCCAACTTGATGAGGAAAACTTGGAATTGCGGAGAAACGTGGAGTCTTTGAAGTGTGCAAGCATGAAAATGGCTCAGCTGCAACTAGAAAATAAAGAACTGGAAAGTGAAAAAGAGCAGCTTAAGAAGGGTTTAGAGCTTATGAAAGCATCATTCAAGAAATCAGAACGCTTAGAAGTTAGCTACCAGGGTTTAGATACAGAAAATCAAAGGCTACAGAAGGCTCTAGAGAACAGCAATAAAAAAATTCAGCAGTTAGAGAGTGAACTACAAGACTTAGAGATGGAAAATCAAACATTGCAAAAAAACTTAGAAGAGCTAAAAATATCCAGCAAAAGACTAGAACAGCTAGAAAAGGAAAACAAATCATTAGAGCAAGAGACTTCTCAACTGGAGAAAGATAAGAAACAGCTGGAGAAGGAAAATAAGAGACTCCGACAACAAGCAGAAATAAAAGATACCACGTTAGAAGAAAATAATGTGAAAATTGGAAATTTGGAGAAAGAAAACAAAACTCTATTCAAGGAGATTGGTGTTTATAAAGAATCTTGTATTCGTCTGAAAGAATTAGAGAAAGAAAATAAGGAACTTGTCAAAAGAGCAACTATTGATATAAAAACTTTGGTTACATTACGTGAGGTAAGTATAGTTACCTAGATTTAAGGCACATATTTTTTACTAGAGGTATGGAGCACGCGTGGGTGGGTCCTGACGCGGGGGGTGTGGGGGGGAAGGGGGGACGGGTAGGTGGGGGCTGTAGGTGGTTGCTGGGCTGGCCCCACCCCCAATCGGGGTGGAGGGCTGATGGGGTCAGGGCTGGTGGAGGAGAGGGGCTATGGGCGGTTGGCTGGCCAACCCCATCCCCTGATTGAATTCCCAGTCAAGGAGACAATTTGCATATTAGCCTTTTATTATATAGGATATTTTTAACTCAAGGCTTTAAGTTTTATTGGAACCTATTAGTAATTTTTATCATCTACTAGTATGGATGGCTATAAAGTAGAAGTTTAGAATTAGAACTAGAAAGTTTCCAACTTTCCTGCCTTTATACATAAACTAAGAAGTATATGTATATTATATTTTTAAAATCTTGTACTAATAAAGTTTCCATATGTAATATTTCAAAATAATAGTATTTCAAAATAATATTACAATATGTGATCAAGACTCTTGACTAAATGCTAAGTATAATGGGATCCATGATAGCCATTATATTGAATGCAAACTGTGTGCCAAATACTGGGCTAAGGTGTGTGTGTGTGTGTGTGTGTGTGTGTGTGTGTATGTGTGTGTATACACACACACACACACACACACACACATATATATACATATATATACACACATACAATTTTATGACCAGTTCTTTATACAGTACGTATTATCTTAATTAGATAAGAAAACAGATTCAGAGATATTATGTAATTTTTTGAGGATGACAGTTAATAAATGGCAGAGTTGGATTACTGGATTCAAATCCAGATCTTTCAGACTCTAAAGCCCTATGAATTTTGACCTCTAAGCTTAGAGAATACAAATCAGGTTAAACTTAAAGGTCAACATTGAATAATTGGTAGTTGCTCAGATTTGTGTGTTGAGAAGAAATTTGAAATTTATAGCAGTATACTGGTAACAGATCTTGTAAACGTGGTTGGTGTAGATCAGAAGATAACATACTTGGCTTGTTTTTGCTTTTACTATGCTATACTTAAATGATAACCCTTTAAGTTCAATTTAAAAGTATCTTAGCATTCTCTCAATACGTCACACTGGAAAGTCTGTGTTTCTGCTAAAGAGATACTGAGAGGAGAGGGACCATTGTGAGCCATTCATTTTTTTCTTTTTGTTGTTCTATGGTCTCATAGACATGAGCAACAGGTTCCTTGTGCCTGCACTTCTCAGAATGCCCCTAGTTCTTCAGACCTATATCCTCTTCCACGGGGAGAAGGGTGCTTGTGAAAAAGGGTGTTGTATAGGAAGAAACATACATTAAGGTCCTAGCTTATTATTGAAAAAATAATGGATATGCGTTTTTTCCCACAGTTCTCAAATGTGAGGTATGGATTCACAAGGAAAGAGTAAATAGTTTCTCCATTTGGTTTTAAACATTAAAAAAAATAAAAAGAAGTATTAGCCAAAAAAAGGACAAAACTATATTCTGTTTGGACTGTTATATTGTTTCATTACTATTTCTTAATGAGGGAGGGAAATTCCAACCACATTTCTGTCTTTCCTGTCTCACATATGTATTCCTAGATGGTTGTGTTAGAATATTGGCTAAATTTCTTAGAAGTTTATGTTTTTAACACTTATGTGAGTTTTGCATTCTTTTTAAAATAAGGATTTGGTGAGTGAAAAATTGAAGACACAACAAATGAATAATGATCTTGAAAAATTAACCCATGAGCTTGAGAAGATAGGGTTAAATAAAGAACGACTCTTACATGATGAGCAAAGTACTGATGACAGGTGAGCATTAGTCACTGGTTCAATTCCCAGTCAGGGCACATGCGAGGGTTTCAGGCTCATTCCCCATTAGAGGGCATGCAGCAGGCAGCTGATCGATGGTTCTCTCTCATTAATATTTCTTTTTCCCTCTCCCTTTCTAAAATCAATTTTAAAAAAATGTTTAAAAAGTAAAAAATCAGGTAAAGAAAGCCTAATACTGTCTAGAAAAAAATGTTAAAATGTTATATAAATACAGTTTGCCACTGAGGTAACAGAAGATCTAAGGCTATAATTGCCTGTGAAAGTAGAATGAGATGACAAACAAACCCCTCTCTGGTGAAATAATGCAATTTAAGCAAGTTATATTTTATTTGATTATATGCTTAAATGCATCAATTCTTTTTTTTTTCTTTTTAAAAAAATATATTTTATTGATTTTGTACAGAGAGGAAGGGAGAGAGATAGAGAGTTAGAAACATCGATGAGAGAGAGTCATCGATCAGCTGCCTCTTGCACACCCCCTACTGGGGATCTGCCCACAACCAAGGTACATGCCCTTGACCGGAATCAAACCCGGGTCCCTTCAGTCCCCAAGCCGACGCTCTATCCATTGAGCCAAACCGGTCCTGGCAATGCATCAATTCTTTTATTATTTTAAAATCTTTATTGTAGTGAGTATTACATATGTAGTATTACATATGTCCTTTTTTTTTTCTTTGACCCCTTCTAGCTCCCATTCTTCCCCCCTACCCCCACCCCCACCCCATACCTTCATCGCCCTATTGTCTGCATTACTTTATACCCTGAAGACAAAGTCTTCAGTGAGTTTCAAGTCTTAACTATGAATATGTTCTTATATGAATACTTTACACTTAATAGTGTAGACAAATGTTTGATAATATAATAATCCTTCACTTTCTATAGATTCCATTCTTATAAAACTAAAATAAATATTTTGAAAAAATATTTTGAGACTTACAAAACTAATAGAAGTATAATGCCTGATTGATTATTAGGTAATTTTTTCTTTTGACAACCTAGGCTATAATCTAAAGCTCTGTTTACTTAGTGATTTTTAATTCTTCATTCCCAGGAATAGTTTAAGAGGGGGAGACTGTGGCAGTACGAGGAGGATAATTTAATTTGCCACTTAAATTATAAGATCTATTTATGGCACCAATATCTGTAGTCATAAATTATCTTTAAAAATAATTTTCTGACCTACAGTAACAAACTTTTACCATTTTTGTACTTGGATAGTAGGTACAAACTTTTGGAATCAAAATTAGAATCCACTCTAAAGAAGTCCCTTGAAATAAAAGAGGAAAAAATTGCTGCTTTAGAAGCTCGATTAGAAGAATCCACAAATTATAACCAGCAATTGCGCCAAGAACTTAAAACAGTAAGTGATTTCCTTGGAAATTTTTAATAGTTAAATATTTGGAGAAAAAATTATAAAATAAAAATTTAATATTTTATTAGTATTGTTTTTTTTCTTAAATTCAAGAATGTTCTTAAACAGGTTTTTGCCATGTAATTTATGACAAACTGTATTTTGTTTATACACTGTAATTGACTCAATCCTATTTCCTGTGTGTATGTCCCCCATGCAATTAGGAACATATCAGAATTGATATATTGAAATGGGGAAAAGGTGGGCTTATTTTATGGGTAAAAGCTCTTAATGAGATACAGGCACTTCGTTCTGACACCCTTTTCCTATTGAGAATCCAGGTAAAAGTTTGATAGGAAATTTGTATGTGTGAGAACACCAAGTAGAGGAAAATCATATGGCATGCTCTCATAAAGTTGAGGATATTTTTCTAGATCTCTTTTCTTGTGATATTTAGAGTTATTCGGTGAATTAAGCAAAACTGTTTTCTCTACATGAGTAAATTAAATATGAAAGGATTTGCTCTATATTGAGTTAATATAATACTAGATTGGGAGTATCATATTCTGACTTATTCTTCTTATTGTCTCTGCATTGCTCCCTGGAATGGTTTTATAGTAATTAAACATTAAAACCTGTAAGGTTACTACAGGCCACATTTAGAACCATTTGACTCAGAACGCTATAGGAAATACAGGTAGCTAGCAGGGCACTGTCTGGTGTTCTTCACATGAGTTGTCTGAGAATCACCTTCCTGCCAGATGACAGTCCACGTGCGAGTGAGATTCGTATTGGGTGTGCCTTGGAGCTGCCCTGGCCTTAAGACTTCATGCTCCACAGCAGTTATCTCTTGCAACAACTCCAGAGGTATAGATTGAAGATCTCCATAAGTTGTTACCAGTTTTAAGAGTTGCTGCACTTAGAGAAGTTCAAAGATACGGCTTCATGTTAGGTATTTATATTTCTCTCAGTCCAAATACAATTTACCAATCAGGGATCTTATTTCCCTTCAGCAAACCTGCCTGCTGACATAGAGCATTCCAATTTTATGAGGTTTCTGGAGAAAGTTAACTGGAGATGAATTTCTCAGGCAGAAAGGAAAAAGGTTTTGCTTCCTATTTGCCCTTACAATCATTGCTGGTATTCATCTCAGACACTACCATGAAACAAGTATTTATGTAAAAGAAATTCTAGAACTTTAATTAACATAAAAGATTATAAAAAATAAAATTTGGTGCCAGATTTTATTAATGTGCTTTATTTCATGATTTTTTTTTTTTACCCTATTAAGCAGTATGACTAGGTTACAAATAAAGTTAACTCATGAAGCTACTCAGCTATAAAATAAGTGGGTTTGGATATGGGTTGGTACATATCTATTTCTAGTCTAAAAGATAGAGATTTAAAAAATCCATTGTTATCTTTTACTTCCTGCCATAAACATGTATTCAGCTGTGATTATATTGTTCTTTTAGTACTACACACGAAAAGGTATATCACTTGAAGATAGACTATGAAAGTTAAATAAAAGTAACAGAAGGTCTAAAATAACTACAAAAATAGCATGACAGAGAGGTATGGCTAATATGCCAACAAGAGAGAGAAAATAGAATTACAAAAAAATCCAAAAGAAAATAGGTGGAGCAAAGTACAAATTGGACAGATGGACAATAAATAGCAAATGGCGGCTTTAAATAAAATCAGTCCTATTAAATATAAAAGGTCTGATACCTCAGGTAAAAGTCAAAGGTTAATGGATTAGATATAAAGGCAAGTCCTACCTATATGCTGCTTCTAAGAAACCTGGAGTCTTTGGTCTCGGCGGCAGAATCAAGATGACGAAGGGGACGTTATCATTCGGCAAGCACTGCGACAATACGCACACCCTGCGCCTCCGCTGGGGCTCGGAGGCCTGCCACCTGCCGAAGCCCACCTGCGGCAAGTGCGGCTACCCCGCCAAGCGCAAGAGGAAGTGTAGCTGGAGGGCCAGGGCTAAAGGACGAAACACTACCGTTACTGGCCGCAGGAGGCACCTGAGAATTGTGTACCGCAGATTCAGCCATGAATTCCGTGAAGGAGCAACACCTCCTAAACCCAAAAGCAGCTGCTGCCGCATCCAGTTCACCTGAAGGATTTCAATGATTAGTCGCACAATAAATCTCGGTTTAAAAAAAAAAAAGAAAAGAAACCTTGATGGAAAAACCTTGATGGAAAATATTTTATTTTTGTGTGAACATAAATTAGAGATTCTGATTAATGATACATAAGGTAAAGAAGCCGTTTTTGAAGCTTAGTTGTAAAAATAATGTTCTAAAAATTAGAAGCTTTGAGGGTTTTTTTCTCAGTTCTTCTTAATAACGGCATATGTCTATAACCTTTCTAAGCCTAGGGGTGAAAAGACCCTGTGGGAAATTAACGTAAAATAGGAGACTAGAAATGATGTCATCCATCTATGTAATTAGGGTGTTAAAAGTAAGGAGGAGAGGGGACTGGATTCCAAAACATCTATATTAGATCACTTGCCAAGGTTTAAATTACATTCTACCTTGGCATCTTTTTCCTTTAGTCTCACATCATTATTTTCTAACTCAATAGTAGCAGATTTTATTGTTGAATTATAAGCTTTCTTAAGGTTTGTATTAGATGTTGAATTATTTTAAATATTTATCCTTGCCTTAATATAAAGTTTAGGTTAAGTTATAAATTTATGCTAAGTGTCTCCTAGGATAAACTAGTAATTCAGGATAAGTATATAGCAATAATCATTTCCAGTTGAGAGCTATTTAAGTTAATCAGCAATTTTGGTAATGTAAGATGACCAAGTTGCTAGTTTTGAGTTGGCTCTCTTAAAGTAGGATCTGGTTGTAGTCATACCAGAAAACCTTGGATTGCTCACTCTCCATAAAATAAATTACAGTAATTATATGTGATAGATGAAGGTCTCAATAAAGAAATCATTAATTTATTTAACACAGCTCATTTTGGGCAACATATCCTTCATAAAAGGGCAAGTGTCTACATATAGATACTTCCTCAATTTTAATTTAGATCTCTTTTTTAAGAGGAATTAATACTGTGTCAGATCTTTATTGTTTACATGAGGATCTCAGAAATCTCTAAATCAGCTATAGATAGAACTCTAGAAACAGTTGTATTATTAGCAGCACGTCTTGATCTTCAGCAACATTTTCATCATAAACAATAGGATATGAAATTAGAGAATATATTGTAGGAGCATTACACATGAAAAATATGTTTGCCGTAGCGGGTTTGGCTCAGAGGTTAGAGAGTTGGCCCAAGGACTGAAGCGTGGTGGGTGCCGGGGCACGTTCACCAGTTGCAGGCTCAATCCCCGGCGCCAGTCAGGCACATGCAGAAGGCAACCAACTGATGTCTGTCTCTCACATCGATGTTTCTCTTTCTCCCCCTCCCTCCCACTCTCTCTAAAATGCAATGGGAAAAGATCCTCGGGTGAGGATTAACAAAAAGAAGAATATATTTAATATTTCTAAGAGAGAAGGATTTGTATTTTATGGAGCATAAATTGTGATTGTGCTAATGATGATAATTATACAGACCATTTACCATATTTTTAGATATTCACCAGATTCGGTGCAGAGTCAAATTAATTGTAAGAAGCAGGACTGAGATGATTTCTTTTCCCCATTAAAACATTGTAAATTACATTTTAGGTGAAAAAGAATTATGAAGCCCTTAAACAGAGACAAGATGAGGAACGGATGGTACAGAGCCCTCCTTCCACTTCCAGCGAAGATAACAAATGGGAGCGAGAAAGTCAAGAAACAACAAGAGAACTTCTGAAAGTTAAAGACAGATTGATTGAAGTAGAAAGAAACGTAAGTATTTTTAAATTTTTAGTAGGAATAAGGATTTTTAGAAGTAATGTGTAACTCAGAAAAATGTATCTAATCTGGTTTTGTAGCTTTGTTCATTTTATACTTTCTTGACCGATTTATTTTGTAATATGAATAAAGACTGAAGAACTCATAATTTACTTCTCTCCATCACCCTCACACAAGACCATCAGTAACCTTTATCAACTCTATCTTGAAAATATACCTCAGACCCATTTTCTTTCTCTACATCTTTGCTGCTACCTCAGTTGCAAGCTCAAGGTAGCATCATCTGTCATCTGGACTATTAAAATATGCTCCTAACTGCCCTACCTTTTCCATTTCTGGCCCAATCTAACCCATTCTCAACACAGGAGTCAGTTATTTCTTAAAACATATTCCAAACCATGTCATTTTCATACTTAAAGTCTTCAATAGCTTCCCATTTTAATTAGAATAAAATCCAGATTCTTCGCTGTGTCCTGTAAGATCCTTCTTAACATTGTCCTGCCTGATCTTATACCACGTTTCTACCCACTCTGTTTATTAATCTGCAGATAATATCTGAAAAACACAAAACAATGCCTGGCACATAGTAAGTAAATTAGTTCTAGTCATACTGGCATTTTTCTTCTTGTTCCTACTCAGGCCTCTCTGTTTGCCTCCCCTGCTGGCTGGCTTCCCTCAGAATTTGTGTCTCATGTCACATATCGCCTGCAAGACTTCTTGCTTGATCCCTTTCCTCAGTAAAGGAGCTGTCCCCAGCCTAAACCGTTCTTCACTATCACACCACTGCCTTATTTAGCTTCTCATAGCACTTTTCACTTATGAAATGACATTATTTTGTTCATTTATTTGTTCTCTATCTACTGAAAAAAAGCTCCTTGAAAGCAGGTAGCTTGTCTTTCATTTTCACCACTGCCTTCAGTATGTAGAATAACGCTTCTTAGATAGCAGACACTGTGCTGAATGAGTTACATATTTGACAATAAACAATAATTGAATGAATTCAACAAACATCCTACAAAGATGAATAAGCTTTAGGAACTTGCATGCTAACAAGTAAAATAGTTGTGGTTGTTATTGTTTTTTAATATAACATGAATTAAAAGCTTTAAGCCAGTGGTCGGCAAACTCATTAGTCAACAGAGCCAAATGTCAACAGCACAACGATTGAAATTTCTTTTAAGAGCCAAATTTATTAAACTTAAACTTCTTCTAACACCACTTCTTCAAAATAGACTCGCCCAGGCCGTGGTATTTTGTAGCTCACGAGCCGTTTGCCAGCCACTGCTTTAAGCCATAAAGCCAAAAATTAATACCTTATACCTTTGATTCCTACTTTCTCATCCAAAAGTAATTACTATAAATATCTTTCCCAGGAAACTGTTTGTGATTTACCTATATATAGAAGTATATTTCTTTTACAGTTTTATATCTGTAGATAATAGAATGTCTATTTTTAATTATTCAGTAATATATACATATATACCTCTATTGTTTAGGTTAATAATTATACCTCGAACAATTGGGCTGGCATATAAAGTCCTGTAAGATAAATCTCTTTCCCATTGACTTCCTTTATAAATTTTCACTGAGGTAAAAGTTACTTGGTTCTCTTACTTTAGCCATTTTAGATAATGGGTTTATAAAAATGGCTAGCCCTATATTATAATAGATGAATAATTTTTGTGTCTCTGCCAGTATCTTTGCTAACTACCTACTTTCCTATTGTAAATTTTTCCTACTCTGAGATAGCCTTTCTAGTCATAGCTATCTCATCTATTCATTACATACTATAGGAATTTTTGTTATTTCTAGGATCATTAGAGCTTGTATATTTTGATTTCTAAAGAGCTGAACTACAACAGTACTTAACATATCCAAGGGAAAAATCATTTACTTATTTGGTGTGTCAGGATGGTATTCTAGGCCCTGGTTGATTTTCCTCAGTGGCTAGAGCATCAGCCTGTGGACTGAAGGGTCCCAGGTTTGATTCCGGTTGGGGCCACATGCCTGGGTTGTAGGCTCAATCCCCAGTAGGGGGGGGTGCATAAGGCAGCCATTCGATGATTCTCTTTCATCATTGATGTTTCTATCTTTCTCCCTCTCTCTTCCTCTCTGAAATAAATAATATATAATATATATGTATATATATATATTTTTTAAGATGGTATTCTAAGTCAGTATTCTACATTTTTTCAGTATATGTTTTTTTATCCTTTGTGTTTGAACAAATGAACAAAAGAAGTTCAGTATCAAAAACATCTTTGGAACATTTTGGTTCTTCAGCTTTGTTTTTTATGGTATATGTGGGTTAAATCCTGACTTGTCTTTTATACAGTGACATAATATATAGAACATAAAACCCTATGGAGTGAATATTATTATTGTCCCCCAAATGCAGATAAGATAAAAGTAATTTGTTGGGATTCAATTGTAACTTTTTGTTGTTGTTGTTGTTAATCCTCATCCAAGGAGATATATATATATATATATATATATATATATATATATATATATATATATATTAATATTTTTTATTGATTTCAGAGAGGAAGGGAGAGGGAGAGAAAGATAGAAATATCAGTGATGAGAGAGAATCATTGATTGGCTGCCTCCTGCATGCCCCCTACTGGGAATCAAGTCCTCAACCCGGGCATGAATCCTTTATCAGAATTGAGCACAGGACCTTCCAGTACACAGACTGGCACTCTGTTCACTGAGCCAAACTGACTAGGTCACCCAAGGATATTTTTCCATTAATTTTTTAGAAAGGAGAGACAGAGAGAAACATCCATGTGAGAGAGACTCATTGATTGGTTGTTTCCCACATGGCCCCAGTCAGGGCTGGGGATTGAGCATGCAACCAAGGTATATATTCTTGGCAGGAATCAAACCCAGGACCCTTCAGTGTCCACTGTCTGATGTTCTATCCACTGAGCCAAACCAGCTATAGCTCAGTTGTAACTTTTTATGCATGTTGCAATTATATGTATAATAAATTCTGGTCTTTTGTATATCAAAGATTTTAAATTTGGGTTTCTAGAGGATTCTTTGTTTATACTTTTTGATGCTATGTTATTTATGATATGTTATTTAGAAGTAACCCTAAAAATGTAATATTCATAACAAACATTTTAATATTTAGAACATTAACTATGATTTGCACAGTAATTCAACCGTTTAACTATAAAACTGAATTATGGCCATATGCACTGGAAAAATTGAAAATGGTATGTTTTGTTTGGATTTGCTCTAGAAGTCCTATAGATGAAATAGAGCTTTAGTGAGTGTTTTATTCCATGAAAAATAATTACTAAAGAAAATATGTAATATCTGTTAGGGTTGTAGGCACTAACATTTTTAAACAGATGGTTAAGATGGTTTCTACTTGTCCTCCAAATATTTGTGTTTATAAAATACTTAGTTTTGCTGCTATCCTTGTGACCACCACATATTTGTCTGTCTGTCTGTCTGTCTGTCTGTCTCAATTGCCTTTGGGCGTTTAGAAAAGAAGCACTCCATGGACTAGAAACGTTCCACTTGTTCTGGACACACTGGGCACTTTTGAGCAGCATGAAAACCGTACAACTGACAGTCACGTTCTTGTTATCTGTGTTAGTCAGTATATTTAGAATGGAGTATTTTATTTTTTAGATATTATAAAGCCGACAGACACAAATACAGTAGTCTTCAGATTTTATGATTATTGCTTTCTTTTTCTTAGATTAAATATCTGTTTACATTTGGGATAGAGGGAATATTTTCTTTTTTCTTTTAAGATTGTTAGGGTTGTATTTTATTATAATGGTAAAAAATACTTGTACAAAATGCCAGTATCTGTTAAATAGAAATTGTTTGATGTTGTTTTTATTTATAATATGTGTGTTTTCTTCCTTAAGAATGCTACACTACAAGCAGAGAAGCAAGCACTGAAAACTCAACTGAAGCAACTTGAGACACAGAACAATAATTTGCAGGCTCAGATTCTTGCACTTCAGAGGCAGACAGTGTCATTACAAGAGCAGAATACTACTCTTCAAACACAGAATGCCAAACTTCAGGTTGTAATGTAATATTTGGGGGATATGCAACAAAGGCTTGAATTATGCTATTAAATAATTCAAGCTAAAACATATATATGATATAGATCCCCTAATATATATATGTATGTATATATATGTGTGTGTGTGTGTGTGTGTGTGTGTGTATATACACACACACACACACACACACACACACACTAATATATATATATAACACCACCTACCAAAAATCAAAATTAAATGGTAACTTGTTCTTTGGGACACAAAAATTCAAATTTTCTCAGTATAATGTGTATATATCTGCTTTGATTTATTTAAAACTTCCTAACGTTAATGTAATCTTTCTTATTTAAAACAAAAACAAAAGAACAATATAAGCTATTTTTATTATTTCTGATAACAATATACATTCTTATAGGTTGAAAATTCCACACTTAATTCCCAAAGTACCTCTCTTATGAACCAGAATGCACAACTACTAATCCAGCAGTCTTCCTTAGAAAATGAAAATGAGTCTGTAATCAAAGAGCGAGAAGATCTGAAATCTCTCTATGATTCTCTGATCAAAGACCATGAGAAACTGGAACTTCTTCATGAACGGCAGGCTTCAGAGTATGAATCTCTCATTGCTAAACATGGAACTCTAAAGTCTGCCCACAAAAATCTTGAGGTGGAGCATAAAGACCTCGAAGATCGGTAATTTATTATATTTTCTGTGTTTTTAATTTAACACCTATTTACTTTGGGTAATAAAGTAAATGTTGAGTTAAACATATCTAAGAGATTATGTAGGAAATTTATATAAACTTACATGTTTTGTGATACTGGCCTGTAATAAATTACTCTTATTTTTTTATTTTAAAGTATTTTTCCCTTTGAGGACATATTATAAACCAAATATCTAACTTTTTCCCCAGTTATAATCAGTTACTAAAACAGAAAGGACAATTGGAAGATTTGGAAAAAGCACTGAAAGTAGAACAGGAAAAAATGCTGCTTGAAAACAAAAACCACGAGACTGTAGCTGCAGAATACAAGAAACTTTGTGGTGAAAATGATAGGTAATAAATATTTATATATTTTAGTTTTGTATTATTATTCATTACATCCAAAGTGTATACTGCCTTTTTACAGTACCATCCATAAAGTAGAATTTTAAAAACAGAATAAGTAAATTACCAACAAAACCTTGCAGCTAGTTATAGAATGGCTCAGACAAAAATCTAGATCTTCTTTTCTCTCTCTATTGAACTAATTAAGCTTTTTTTTGTTTTTGTTTTTTTTAATCCTCACCTGAAGATATGCTTAGAGGGAAGGAGTGAGAGAGGATGAGAGAGAGGGGAAAAAAACATCTAGCAGTTGCCTTCTTTATGCTCCCCAATGGGATCAAACCCACAGCCCAGGAATATGCCTTGATTGGGAAGTTAACCAGCAACCTTTCAATGACAGAACTCCGCCAACTGAGCTGTTCAGGCTGGGCTAAATAATTGAAGTTTTTAAGCCACATTATATACTGAAATTTTTGTGCCTTGAGAGCATTTTCATATTTTATTAAGACAGAATGTAATGGACCTGATTCTTTATGTCTTTCTCCTTTTTTTGCTAGTCTGGTATCCTAATTCCTGTCTTTTGAAGTTGCTACAAGTGAGCAGCCTTATGATTTTCTATCTGATTTATTCATACTTTTATTTTTAACAATCTTAGATATAAATAGCCTTCTATTGCCATGGAGCAATTCTTTTTTAACTTGAAGCCTTGGGGAAATCAAAATTTGCCACTGGTAGTCAAATTAATCCATAAGGATATATTTTCAAGTTTTTTTTAGAAACCTTTGAAAAGTTTAAACAGTATAAACCAACCAAGCATGTCAAACTCACGGCCGGCGGGTGGCATGCCTCATTTATTTGGCCCGTATTAGCCTTTGAGTTTGATATGCTTGGCCTAAACATTTGCACTGCACTTGCATTGCCATAACTGAAGTGCCGAAAGGCAGCACACAAAATTTCGCATGTCTTCACTTCTTCAACATATTTAAGTGCTGAGAGATTTCATTTCAAGAGAAGAAAAGTACTCAAATTTTTTAAAAATCTAGTTTTTACGAAATAGAAACTGACTCTTGATTAGTGTAGTAATTAGCAGAAGAATTCTTTATATTCTCTAAGTATGTCTGAATGCGATTTATAGCATTTTCACATATTAATGGCAATGAAAGCTATGAAGAAAATTTGATTCTATTCTATTACAATTTCTAATTATAGGTTGAATCATACATATAATCAGCTTTTAAAAGAAACTGAAGTTTTACAAACCGACCATAAAAACTTGAAAAGTCTTCTAAATAATTCCAAACTGGAACAAACAAGATTAGAAGCTGAATTTTCGAAGCTGAAGGAACAATACCAACAGTTGGACATTACATCCACCAAGCTGAATAACCAGTGTGAGGTGAGCTTTAACAAGTTTAATCAATTTTTAAAAAAATCTGTACATTTAAGTGCTCAAAGCTTACAATGTATAGAACATGCATTCTGCCTGTGATCTATAAAAGTCTTAAGTAAGATATGATCGGGGTAATGAACTTACAAAATGGTAGAGGAGCATGAAAAATTAACTCCCCAAGAAACAAAAATAATTGACAAAACTGTCAAAAATTATCGTGTTAGTGCTGTGAAACTCACTCAGAAGCGAACAGCAAGTGGAGCAGCATTTGTTAAAAGCTGCTCACCTTTGGGCAGGAGCTATAGTTGTCTGAGGCGTTGTGACTTCTCCCAGTCTCATCCCCTCTCCCTCTCTTAGTTTCAGAGCCTGGTAGTTCTGCCTGGGTGCAGGGCGATCCATGAACAGCAGTACCTTTGCTACTGGAGGGCACTGGCTTGATTTGAGCAGAGCACAGAAAAGCCCCAGGCCCAGGAGAGCTGTCAAAGGCTAACTCTCAGGTAGCCTGAGGTTGGAATATTGGTTGGGACAAATTAACAGATCAGCAATCCTGTCAGAAATTTTACTGTGAGCTCCAAGCAATTGCACAGTAAATATTTATTTTTGCTCATGAAATCTATGGGTCAGTTGAGCAGATGTGCTGATCCATGAATTGCTGTGGAGGCCAAGATTAGTTGATCATAGTCGGACTTGCTCCTGCATCTGCGGGTATCTGGCATGTACCCCGAGGACTGGCTGGTCTAGGAGGACCCAGCTAGCATAACTTCCCTGTTTACTCGGTCTCTCATCCTCCAGCAGGATTTCCAGAGACTGCATGTAGGCACATAAGGCCTCTTGAGGACGGGGCTTAGAACTGTCTCACAATCACTTCCATCTTCTTCTCTTGGCCAAAGGCCTTCCAAATACGGGAAGAGAGAAAATGGATTCCTTTTTTTGATGGGAGGAGTGAGAAGTCACATTGTAAAAGGATATACATATAGGGAGGAGGCTAACTGGATTCAGTTTTGCAATGAATCTGCCACATGTTATATTTCAATTTAATAATATATAGATAAATGAAAGAAACTCAGCACAATATTGGCAGTGGTTAGATCTAGATGGCTGTTTATGGATAGTCATAAATAGCTTTTCTGTAGGTTTTATTTATTGATTTGAGAGAGAAAGAGAGAAAGGGAAGACACACACACACACACACACATCACATCACTTTGTCCCACTCATTTATGCATTCATTGGTTGATTCTTGTATGTGCCAGGGATTGAACCTGCAGCCTTGGCATGTTGAGATGATGCTCTATTCAATGACCTACTCAGCTAGGGCCGTGAGAATTTTTTAAATGTTTGTTTTCTTTATCTATTACTTTTGGAGGAAAGATAATTATTGGCATATATATTTTAAAAATACAGCTCTCTTGGCTCTACTCCAGAACTGCTGAATTCAAATGCTAGCACCCAGAAACCTACATTTTTAAAAATATACTTTATAAGTGATGCTAAATTTTGAGAATCACTACTGTGGGCTTTCTGACTTCTACTGGAACTGCTGGCCTACCTAAATCATATTTCCTTCCAAATTCCATTTAAAGAAAAAGCAGCCCAATGCTGCTGGCAGCCCAACTACAAGTAACATGAGCTAGCAATATCAATCATTGACAAGATCACCTACCTCCTTTGTTCAAGCTGCAAAAAGTATATAGCAATTTACAAGGTTCCTTGAAAACAGTGGTTGAAGGAATAAGGAGGCTTAGTAAGTATCTGTTGGGTGCCATAAGCATGACACCAGGTACTTTACATGTATTATTTAATCTTTGCAAAAATCTTACAGGATGGGATTATCCTCATTTTACAGATGAGGTCATTGAAGCTCAGAGAATTAACTAACTTGTTCAATGTTTCATAACTACTTAGAAGCCCAGAGATTTGAATCTAGCTTTCAGACTATTAAGTTAAACAATTTTTAAGAAAGCAGTATCTTTGGAACTAACTAATTTGTGATAAGCCCAATGTTGTTGAGAATTATGAAAACACAGATGTATAGCATATAACCCAGTTTTTTAGCTGTCATTATTACTAAACTAATCACTCACATTCTGACCAAAGTGTGACCATCTAATTGTTCAAATAGCAGGAGATAGAAGTCTATGAAGTACTCCATTTTTCTGATGTTTTGGGTGATTTATGTTAAATGTAAATGTTGATATTTAAAAAAAAATAACTTTTCCAACAGTTGCTAAGCCAACTTAAAGGAAATTTAGAAGAAGAAAATCGGCATCTACTAGATCAAATCCAGACATTAATGCTGCAGAACAGAACACTGTTGGAGCAGAATATGGAAAGCAAGGATCTTTTTCATGTTGAACAAAGACAGTACATGTAGGTACCAAATAATTTTGCACTGTGAAATATTAGTTATAATTTTATAATTGTAATTTTTGGTGGCAGAGAAACTTAATCTGTTTTTTTTGTTTGTTTTGTTTTCAACATTATTTCCACATATATTTTTTCGAATGCTTATGTCTCAGGCTCTATGCTGATAACCAGGAATACTATCATGAAAACATGGGTACTGCTCTTAAGGAACTAGTAATATAAAGTGAGAAATACAAATAACTGCCATAATGGAAGTATGTGTAGGAGGCATAGAAATATAGCACCCTTAGTCTGGGAGCAGTGAGGTGGACTTGCCAAAGTTGGTTGCTTGAGCAGAGACTTAGGGGTTCAGTAGTAATTCACCTGTGAAGACAAAGAAGATCAATAAAGCAGCAAAAGCAAAACACAGCAGTGTTATGAAAATGTGTTATGGTATGCTACAGGCTCTGAAAATTGATTTTTCTTACTGGAGCAAAATTGAGGAAGGAGGAACAGAGAAGTGGTAAACTGTCACTCAAGAGTCACTTCACAAAGGTTTTTCTACGCCACACAAAAAAGTTGCTTAAAAATTTGAACAAGAGAGTAATAAGATCAGGACTGCATTAAAAAACACAACACTGATGGCATTTTAGACTATGGATTGAAGGTTCTGAGAATAGAGATAAGAAATAAGTTTTATGAAAGCTGTTGCAATAATCTAGTAAAAAATAATTCACAAGCAGTGATATTTGAGATGAAATACAAGAGATGTGTGAGAAATAGAATTGACAGGGCTTCACTGTTGCTAAGTTATGTCTCCATTGAGTGTGGAGGAAGCTGGTAAAATCAGGATTTTGGCCTCAGTGTATAGTCTTTATATTACACCACAATCCGTATTTTCTAAATTCTTTTCCCCTTGTCACTGATTGCCCCTAACTGCCCCCTGCTGCCAGCCAGGTCACCCCCGACTGCCCCCTCTGCCGGCCTGGTCGTCCTCGCTCTAACTGCACCCCTCCTCCCCCTGCCGGCCTGGTCACCTCTAACTGCCTCCCCTCCCCTCCCCCACCTGGTCGCCTCTTACTACCCCCCCTTGCTGGCCTGGTCGCCCAACTGCACACCCTGGTCATCCCATGCAGCCTGCTTGTTCAGTCATTTGGTCATCCTTCACTAATCCCCCTGCCAGCCTGGTTGTAGGCAGCCATCTTGTGAGGGTGTGAGGATTAATTAATTAGTTAATTATATAGGCCTAGAGGCCCGGTGGATGAAAATCGTGCCCTCGGGGGAGGGAGGTCCCTTAGCCTGGCCTGTGCCCTGTCGAAGTCCGGGAACCCTCGGAGGATGTCCAGAGTTGTCATCGGACATCTTTAGGCTCCCGCCACCGCCACTGTGCTCACCAGGCATGAGCCCTGCTTCTGGCTGAGTGGCACTCGCCCTGTGGGACTGTATTGACCACCAGGGGGCAGCTCCTGTGTTAAGTGTCTACCCACTATTGGTCAGTGCGTGTCATAGTGACTCGTCATTCCACCATTCGGCCAATTTACATATTAACCTTTTATTATATAGGATATTTGTAATTGTAAGCAAGCAAACTGTTCATTTCAATTTTTTACCTATATAAATTGTAATTACTGTTTATTCCAAAAATGGAGGAAAAGTCGTTGTTGATATAATGTTGTTTAATAGCTATAAAAAAGATGTTAAGAGAATTCCTTTGTCATGATAAGATTGTAACATGGAAAATTATTTTTAACTAGATCCTATTGAAGAATTGAAACTTTAAATCCTACATGGTTTTATTTAAGTATGTAAATTTAAAGAAAAGGAGAAACTTCAAAAAATTCATTGTTACTACCGGTGCCTAATTCTTAGTTTTCAACTATGGTATCTGTATTTGTTTAAGTTTTGGAGAGAAGTTAGATCACAGTCACAAAATAACTATCATTTATAACTGTACAAAATATGTATGTCCTGAAATTTAATTTTTATTTTTATAGTGATAAGTTAAATGAATTAAGACGACAAAAGGAGAAATTAGAAGAGAAAATTATGGATCAATATAAATTTTATGAGCCATCTCCTCCTAGAAGGTACTATTCACCAAAATTGACTCATTTTTATTCCAAAAAAAAGAACAGAATATTTTAAACTTCTGATTTTATGAAGGATTTATATGTTGAATTTTAGACTGATAAGAACTTTTTAAATTATTCTATTAGGAGAGGCAACTGGATTACTCTAAAAATGAGAAAATTGATAAAGTCTAAGAAAGATATTAACCGGGAACGTCAGAAATCTCTAACATTAACACCTACTCGCTCAGACTCCGGTGAAGGATTTCTTCAGCTCCCCCACCAAGATAGCCAGGACAGTTCTTCAGTAGGCTCAAACTCTCTAGAAGATGGCCAAACTTTGGGGACCAAGAAAAGCAGCAGTGAGTGCCTAAACTCTTTAAACATTTGTTATGTCTAATATTGATTTAGAATCCTTTCTAAAAGGTTTTTAAAAAATAACTTCAACACTCCTTTAAGATAATAGTCTAATTAATGCATTTCTCTTTGACTCCATACAATTATAAAATTCATTATATACTACAATAATACACAACCACATGATTTTCTATATTGTGTGTGTAAAGATATTCCATACACAGGGATCCCATCATTTGGCAGAGGAGGTAAAACGGTGTAGAAAGAACATTGAAATAAGAGCTAGAAACCTCTGCCATTTGCTAGTTCTGTTAATATGGGCAAGCATTTCATCTTTGCGTCATACTTTACCAGGGTGATTATGAAGAGCAAGTGAGAAATATTTACAAGAGTCATTTTCATAATTATAACAAAATAGAATAAGGCTCATTTTCATAATTATAACAAAATAGAATAAGGCATTTTACAATGAAGTTTTACTCAGACTTTTGTATCAAATTGGAACAAAGTTACATTGGGCAAAACAAAGAAATAGGTATAAATTTGAAGAGAATGCTATTTAAAGATTTATAAATAATTGATGGTTATGAAAAGTATTGAGTGCTTGATAAAGGATTGGTTAAAATAGGGGAGAAGATAAAAATTTGTGATTTAAAATTTTTGTTTTTTTTGTTAATCCTCACCCGAGGATATTTTTCCATTGATCTTTTAGAGAGAGTGGAAGAGATAAAGACAGAAAGAAACTTCAATGGAAAAGAGAGATACACATTGATTGGTTGCCTCGTGCATGTTCCCTTGACCAGAATCAAACCCGAGACCCTTCGATCTGCAGGTTGACACTCTATCCACTGAGCCAAACTAGTTAGGGCTGGTTTAATATTTTTAATTACAAATACAGAAGTTCACATCATAACGAACCCTACATAATTCATAATCTTTTTGTTTCATTACTAGTGTGCTTAGCTAAACAGCAAGGGCAAAGTAAATGGCTAAAGAAGTGTATTTTAAGAGAAAGAGAAAAGAATCAAATCTTGGGCCCTTAGAAGATGTCCAAGAAGTTGACTATCAGTGTTCTTATAAAATATATAAACACTATACTTCGAGTCCACTCACTCTATCACCAGAGTCATTAAGTTTTAAAAATAGATTCATATATATACATATACATTTCATTACTATTCTTTTAAGTGGATAGCAGGCAAAAACAGCTGTTTCCCTTAGGGGTAGATTCTCCACTTGGGTAACTTTTAAAAAACTTCAGACAGTGTTTTGGCCTTGGGAATTATCTCTGAAAAGGCAGTATTTTCAGATGTAGGAGACTAGACATTTATTATAGGGTATATTTTAGAATGTAACTGTAGCACCTAAGAATCAGAATCCATAATAAAGCAGCAAATCATGTACATACTTATGTACATATTCATGCATACACACATGTGGGTGTATTTGTATGGTAGGCTCAAGGAATTTGTTTAATTCTGTGTCCCCACGTAAGGATTTTATTGCCTGAGTCTTTTACTACCTAGTCTTGTCCACCAAATCTGCATGAAACATCTGAGTATTGTGGAAAGACCATCAAGTTTTCTTTAAAATGTTTCCAGGTAATTTACTTTTATCTCTATCTTTAGATATAAAAATCTGGCATTTTATTAAATGAGAAATGGTAGTAGATATACTTAATTTTTTAATTAAATGAAGATATTTCAATTCAGCTATGAGAGCCTACATACAAGAAAGGCATGACAGTCTTTTCTGAGACCATCTTGTTTGTTTTAAGTACAGGATAGGGCAAAAGTAAGTTTACAGTTGTATGAGTTTATTCCTGTATTATTATTTTTATTGTATATTTTCCATGCAAACAACTGTAAACTTATTTTTGTCTTACCCGTCATTCTTTCATACTCTCTGCTGATACCTTGAAAATAAGAATCAAAAGGAAGTAATATTCTCTTTTCCTACAATTGTTCATTTTTAGAATTTTTAAAATAAACATAAAATCCAACAATGCTAATGTTCCTTTCATTTTAGTATGGCTTTTTTTGGGGGGGCGGGGGGGAGGAGAGAAATGTTGTGTATCTAAAAACTAATTGCCATAACAAAGATCACATTCTACCACTGGCAAATTTGAAATTCTGTGGTCCTCTCTTTTTTAAGAGGGTCTGTCAGTAAAGCAGTCTTTGGAAAACAGTTGAAACAGAAAAAGAAAGTAAAGACAGCATGTTCACATTGTCCGTTTTTACATTGCTTTCAGTTTATTTATTTTAATCATTGAAAGTAATTGTGCTATACAAAACTAGAAAAGAAATAGGTCAAATTAAAAGCTTAAATGAATCATGACTACGTATTCCTAATAACAATCAAATATATAAGTTAAAGAGCTGAATGTACATTGCATTCTCCTTAATGAATGATTCTTGTAAGAGTGTCAAAGAACTTTGATTATTTACAAGACAATGGTAAACCCTGAGAAAGAGCACAGTTATTAAGGCTGTGTGCAATGTTTTAAGTCTTTATGCAAGTTGTTTCACTAGTGCCTGAATTGTAGTTCCAAAATAAATACATTTTTTGTATTTACTTACGTATTTTTAAAAAGTTTAAACCTTACCCAAGGATATGTTTTTTTGTTTATTTATTTATTTATTTATTTATTTATATTTTTAAATATATTTTATTGATTTTTGTACAGAGTGGAAGGGAGAGAGATAGAGAGTTCAAAACATCAGTGAGAGAGAGTCATTGATCAGCTGCCTCTTGCACACCCCCTACTGGGGATATGCCCGCAACTAAGGTACATGCCCTTGACCGGAATCGAACCCGGGGCCCTTCAGTCCCCAAGCCGATGCTCTATCCATTGAGCCAAACCGGTCCCGGCTGTTTTTTTGTTTTTAATATATTTTATTTATTTCAGCAAGGAAGGAGAGAGGTAGAGAGAGAGAAACATCAATGATGAGAGAGAATCATTGATCTGCTGCCTCTTGCATGCTCCTATGAGGGATCGAGCCTGCAACTAGGACATGTGCCTGACCGGGAATCAAACCATGAACCCCTGGTTCATAGGTCAGTGCTCAACCACTGAGCTATGCCGGCAGGCGATGTGTTTTGTTTTAATTGATTTTGAGAGTGAGAGAGAGAGAGAGAGAGAGAAACATCAATTGGTTGCCTCCCATATGTGCCCCAACCTAGGGTTGTTCTCCTATCTCTCAACCTCTTGGTGTATAGGATGACGCTCTACCAACTGAGCCACCCAGCCAGGGCTTTTTGTATTTAACTCTTATTAAAATATAGTTTAGCCAGGTGTAATTCATTGATTGAGTATTAACCCATAAACCAGGAAGTCATGATTCGATTCCCAGTCAGGACACATACCCCAGTTGTGGGCTTAATCCCCAGTAGGGGGTGTGCAGGAGGCAGTTGATCAATGATTCTGTTTCATCATTAATGTTTTTATCTCCCTCTCCATCCCTCTCTGAAATCAATAAAATATGTTTTAAAAAGTATATATAATATATATAATATATATAATATATATATATAATATATATATATGTATGTATAATGTAGTTTAAGAAGGTGACTCTAGTGAACATTTTTATTTTTGTACTAATGACTCCTGTAGTTATAACCCTCATTTTCATTCACAAATTTTTTTTGCACAGTGTTCTCTTTGATTTTTTTAATAATCTCACCGAAAAAGCTCTTCAAAATAAATACCTAAAAATGTAATATACACTTTTTTGGGGTCATTTTTGCTTGCTTTACGATGCCTTCATATCTTTTAGCCTTATCAGGACTTAGTGCTAGCACTTATTACTACTGTCAGAATACTCTTTTTTCTCTCTTTACCCAGACAACTTTTTGGTAAAATGAAGTTTAATGTAATTGCTCATTTCATCTTTTGAAAGCCTGTTCAAAGAATATATATATTTCCATGGTGCTACTACATATTACCAAGAAGCAATTTGCTATTTCTTTATTAAAGTTTAAGAAAGTATTGAAAAATTTTAAGGAAAGTTTTAAAAGCTTTAGATTGTTTAAAACATCCCATGGGCAGTTTAGTTTTTGGTGATGTAGATTACTAAAATACTCTTAAGTGTTTTTGCCTAAATTACTTTTTCCATAAAGCCTTATAATTTAAAAAATTAAAGAAAATAGAGGATTGAGAAGCCTTGTACATTTTTATCACGTATATTCTATGTCCCACCAGGAGCCCTAATTTTAAAGGTATACATTTACAACTTAACTAGAAAACTTGTTCCAAAAGTAATTTTAACCAGTTCCTGTATTTATAGGACTTTAGCTAATCCAAGCTTTCAAAGTATATGTTCTTCATCATTGTCTTCAGTGCCGTTTTAAATATTTTAAAGTATCAGAGTGCTTATTTCATATTTCATTATCACTCAGCAGCACGAGAATAATAACTTTAATATAGCAAACATAAGCTGAAACTCAGACATTCATTTCTGTCCTTAATTTCAACATTTAACTCCCATCTGTTCTTCTCCCTTTTTCCTGTTTCATTTTTCTGTTTCTGTTTTTCCTCATGCTCTGACATTAAAGTGGTTGCACTGAAAAGACTGCCCTTTTTGAGGAACAGACCGAAGGATAAAGACAAAATGAAGGCCTGCTACCGTCGTTCCATGTGTAAGACTTTATGACAGTTCAGCTTCTTTCAGTTGACTACACTGGCTTCCATCACTAATTTTCACTAACCTTTCTCTGGACTGTGCCAATTTTCTTATTTTACAAAGTGCAGTCTTCCTCTAATACAAGGAGCTGGAAGAATTTTTTTTTTCAAAACTGGCACTGAATTTGCATTATATGTATGTTCACTGATCCATACATATACATGCATCTGTTTAGTTGTACATGTAATAATACACTTGTAAATTTCTAGTGCTTTCTAAAAGTTGGCAGAAATAAAACCCTAATTTTATGCCATTATAGAGATTTTTTTCCCAAAGAAATTTACTTAAAGAAAATATAACAGAATGTTTAGCATTAGACATTTATTTCCTTAATGAACTAGATTAAATAAATAAATAAATAAAATGGCCTGTAACCCTTAAAAATGTTTGTCATTCTTTATATAATAATACTCTGGTTTTCCTTTTTTTTTTTTTTTTCTAAGTGGAATGGGTAATTATATAATTACATTAAATGTCTGTCACTTTGACTACCATCTCTTTCAGGTTTTTATTAATGGTATACTTGTTTGATTGATAAAATGAGTAATTTCTTCAGTAACCTGCTCTGACCAAGGACTCTCTATCATTTTCAGTAATGATGCTGTATAAGAACTGCTCTCCATCATACCTTTATTCATTCCATTTTTGTCACCACAAAACCACATTATGAAGGCTTCTAATTATATTGCACATCGCTGCGCAAAAGCATGGCAGTTGTACAGAGTAAAATTCCTTTTCCCATCTTTAAATGGGGTGGAGATGGGATAAAAATATTTACTGAAATTTATCAGCCTTTGGCCTGTTCATTTCATTCAGCTGAATGCATGTCATAATTTGAATGACATTGTGGTTACAGTTTTTTATTTTCACTTGCATTAATCCATAGGGAAAAACCCCCAGGTCATTTATAATACAAAAGAGAAACAAGAGCAAGAACATTAACCATGCTGATTCATTTGCTTTCATTTGCATCCCAGCCATGAATGACCTGGTGCAGTCCATGGTCCTAGCAGGAGGACAGTGGACAGGTAGTACTGAGAATCTGGAGGTTCCGGATGATATTTCAACGGGTAAAAGGAGAAAAGAATTGGGAGCTATGGCCTTCTCCACTACAGCAATCAACTTTTCAACTGTCAACTCTTCTGCAGGCTTCAGATCCAAGCAGTTGGTTAATAATAAAGGTATAGGCCGTCTGCTATTTGCACTGTTGTGGAACTGTTGGCAACAGAAATTTTCATTTGACTTTCCCATGTGTACTTTTTGACAGTAGCAAAGGGAAATAATTATCAAAACAATCTGGCTTTGATTTAAGGGAATTTTGAAAGCATTTTAAAAAATTTAAGACATAAAATAACTAAATTTTTTCCTAAGCTTTTGATAATAAACAGCTAATGAACTGACAAGAAAAGAAAAAGCAAAGCAAGTAAAGTTTGAGAAAAGGAGCCACTAATAGAAGCTTAAAAAAAAGAAAAGAAAAAGAAAACACTAGGACTTCAAACAGAGAAAAAAAACAAACATGTAGAACAACCGAGGCTCTTGCTTTGCAGGGTCACGGAGACTGTTCCATTGACGAGTAAACTCTCATCAGAGCTATTTTTCTTGCTCCAGTTCCAGTGTTTGGTTGCGTCTAAAGTATATTAAACAGAGATGTATTATATGTAATTAAAAAAGACTTTTCCATATTCTGAGTAAATAAAATTTTGCAAAGTTGGTGTTTTTTGTTGTTGTTATTGTTATTTTGTTAAGAAATACTTTAATATCTATTTTGATATTTTATGTAGATGCTACATCCTTTGAAGATATAAGTCCACATGGTATTAGTGATGATTCTAGTACAGGATCAAGAGTTCATGGTAAGATATGAACTTTATTTAGATAATACAAATTAACTATAGAATGTTGCATTGAATCTGAATGTGCATTGCCAGCAAGCATGTTTTATCTAACCTGCACCTCATACCTCTGCCATTTCTTCAAATCTAATACTTCTCTTTACCCCTTTTAATGTTACTGTTTCATCTAAATAGTCTCTATTTTAGTCCAGGTCATTTATAAAGTATTCCTGCACAATGCTTAAAGGTAATTTTGTTGCCATTTTGTTATAAGTTTAAAGTTCTGAATACTTTTTACAATATTTACTTTAAGAAAATATAAACTTTTAAGAAACCATATTCTGCAATGTCAAGCATTTCAGGTTTTTAAATTTCTGTCTGGAAAATCATATCTTACCAAACTAAATTATTAACAATAAGTGGATAACATGTAAAAGGAATTTCATATGAAAGCAGGATTTTAAGAAATAGGATAGGGCCATGTTAACTATTCGGTTGTTTCTCTTCTATGGATAGGGATACAAAACATTAACTACAGATGCTCATATTCCTCCTGTTTGTAGCATCTTTGCAATGTGCAGGGTTCTTTGATCTGTTGTAAGTGACATAATTACTAGCACCTTTTTTGGCATGTCACTCTATTAATTTAAAATAGTCCTACCATCCTTCTAGAAATCATATTCAAATCTAAATATGCAATTTATCTTCTTTTATTTGAATTTTAACAATTGTTTCAGATATGCCCTATCTTACTAAACTATGTGGAAATGTCTTTGCTCTCTAATGTATACAATTCAGCTATCAGTGGGCATGCTCGATGTGTGCAAGTATGCATGATTACTTCCTCAAAGCTTTCTGTGATCAAAATATAAAGTTCAGTGTCATCAGCTGGAAGTTTTATCACACTGTCTCCTGATTTTTTCATTTAGCTTCGAGACCAGCCAGCCTTGATAGTGGCAGGACATCCACTAGCAATAGCAATAATAACGCCTCACTCCATGAAGTTAAAGGTATGCTGTAGGTAAATTTATTAATATGTTCCATCCATTTCCACATTTAAAAGGGAGATCGATGAAGTTTCTAGAGTAAAGTGTGAGATCTAAATCATCTGTTTGGGACATAGTTTCTTGAAATATTTTATACTTTTAACATATTTCAATGTATGTAAATGTAAAAACAGGAGCAGTTATTTTGGTTTCCATTTTTTATCTTTCACAGGTAAAATATTTTATAATTTATACTTCAAAAATATCTGTAGGTCTTATTTTACTTAGGTTTTATCTTTCTCATTAACATGGTTGTCCTTAATTTTCTCATACTTATACATTGAACTCACATTACAGAAAGAGTTTTACATACACTTAATTTATCCCATGAAATAGGAAATGTATTTTTTAATTTGATAAGGCAATTGTGTGTGTACACATGTGAAACAAGAGCCAAGTGGATGCATATAGCTCATCTAAGAATTATTTCAATGTTTTCCCTTAGTTTTTAAATATACAGGTACGGCTTTTATGTAATGTCTGTCTGGAAGCCTTGACTAATATCTTTTTCCTTAAAGGTATACTGCCTACTCAGATTCTGGAATTGTTTAGTGGATTATAAACATTTATTAAAATACTCTGTACACTCCAGAATTGCCAAATTAGAGTCAATGCATTTATTCCATTGCTCTTTGCATTATAAAATCCTTTGTCTCCATTTTAGGGGTTTTTTTTGTTGTTGTTGTTTGTTTTTTTATCATTAATGCTATGACTTTTTTGCTAGGATCTGGGAAAAAAGAGGGATTTTTGAATTTTTATAATCATTTTGTATAGCCAGTAGGAAAAAGTAGAAGTATTTGAAAATTTAAGAAAATCTTATTTCTCTAAAGTTATTACAGAACTTGAGCCACATACTTTCATGACCTACTTTACTCTTTTGTGATTAGAAAACCATGGAAAGTTGCATTTTCTATCTCAATATTGTATCAGTTTGCTTTTGATCAAAATCAATTATCATTGTTAAGGAATAGCGTAAGCTTTAGATAGATTTTTTCCAGAACTAGTAATTTGCATTCTATACAGTTACTCAACTGAGTGGCCACCATACCAACAGTGGAAAGCATGACTTTCCTTATATGCCTATTTAATTAAAAAATTTTTCCTTTAAAGTCATTTATTAAGGATTAATAGATAAAACTTTAAGAAAGGCAAAGCATTAGAATTTTTAGCATTTAGAATAGTTTTTGGTTTTAACATTCAGAAATAATTTAAAATTTCTATAGTCATGTTTTGTTCCAAATTGTGAGGTGGTTTACAGTTACAGTTGACCCTTGAAAATACGAGGAAGTGGAAGGGGCTAGCACCCCTAATCCCATGTTATTCAGGGTCAACTTGTATTTGAACCTGTATTTAAATTTCAACAATTGTTTCAGATGTACCCTATCTTTATGGTAGACAAAATAATCTGGCAGTTGTTAAACTTAAAAGATAAACATAGTTACTAAGCATTTCTGAGTAAAGCTTGAAAGTCAGTTTGGCTCTGTGTAAGAACCCAGTCAACAAATCTTATTACTTATATAGTTTTAATCTCATTTCTATTATTGAACTCTTAACACACCATGTACTCCGAAAGCAGGTGCAGTTAATATCCAGAGCAGACCACAAAGCCATAGCAGTGGGGAATTTAGCTTGCTTCATGATCATGAGGCTTGGTCCAGTAGTGGTAGCAGTCCAATCCAGTACTTGAAAAGACAGACCAGATCAAGTCCAGCGCTCCAGCACAAAGTGCCTGAAACTGAGAGTCGAGCACATCACAAGATCAAAACTGGTTCCCCTGGAAGTGAAGTTGTTACTCTACAACAGTTTTTGGAAGAAAGCAACAAGCTTACCTCAATACAGGTGAGTTTTATAGATGACCTTAATTTAGATGGGCATTACAAGTTAAATGTCTGTGACTAAACTTGAGAGCTTTTTTGTTGTTGTTAATGCCCGATGGTATTTTTCCATTGATTTTTAGAGAGTGGAAGGGGAGGGAAGAAGAGAAACATCTGTTTGAGAAAGACACATCAATTGGTTTCCTCCCACACATGCCGCACAGTGTGGGGAGGGCTCTGTGAGCCCTTGATCAGAATTGAACCCGAGACCCTTCAGTGCACAGGCAGCTGCTCTACCACTGAGACATACCAGCCAGAGCAGACTTTAGAGCATTTTATTTTAAATAAAGGAGTGTTTAGAATACTAGCAGTTTTATATTATGCAGTCTAATATATCAGGAAAGTAAAAGCATACCTGATATTCATTAATCTGCTTTGTTTTTTTTAACAGATAAAGTCCTCAAGCCAAGATAACCTTTTAGATGAAGTAATGAAAAGTTTGTCTGTCTCTTCTGACTTTTTGGGAAAAAGCAAACCCGTTAGCTGTGGCCTGGCCAGGTCGGTAAGTGGAAAAAGCCCAGGAGACTTCTATGATAGACGGACCACTAAGCCGGAACCGTTTGTGAGGCCTGGCCCTCAGAAGACTGAAGATGCCTGCTCTGTTAGTTCTCCAGGAAAACCTACACCAGGCACTCAAGGAAAGATGAAACTGGTAAAAGAATCTTCTTTGTCACGACAATCAAAAGATAGTAATCCTTATGCCACTTTACCTCGTGCCAGCAGTGTGATCTCTACTGCGGAAGGGACTACTCGGAGGACAAGCATCCATGATTTTCTGACCAAGGACAGTAGACTGCCTATGTCAGTTGACTCATCACCAGCTGTTGCTGATAGCCACATCACTGCAGCATCTAGTGAGTACCGTTTACACCAGTGGTCTTCCCATAAACGCCACAGCCCAATATATTACGTATGTTCTCGTGCACAAATTGATTTAGTTACAGATGAGCATGAGTCTCTATATGCCCAGGCCAGAGACTCAACAGAAAGGCCACATTTTCTAAACCAAACTTTTGCCACCATGAATATGTCTAATGAGTCACTTGCAGTGTCAGCTAAAGATAGTATAGAGTCATTTACTCATCCATCTCAGCCATTTTTATCCCTGAATACAGAGTTAGTTAGTAACATCAGTGGGTTACCTCCCAGGCCAGTCACCAGAGTAACTGACCAGGCTTCTGCCTCTTTGGATAAAGCTTCACAGAAAGATAATGAACAGTTTTCTGATAATCAGATCCGAGGTAACTGTAACCCACAGTCTTCTGTAGGTAGCAGCAATCTTTCCACTCCTGCATGCCTCTGTCCTGATGACACAGAAGCTGCATTGTTAGTTTCTGAGGATAATCAGACTGTTTGGTATGAATATGGTTGTGTATGATCAAAACTGCACAGTATAATCCTGATGTCATTTGATATGTACTATGCTTCTCTAATCTGACTTGAAGAGCTGCTGTTGAAAAGTATTTGGCAAGGTTCATATTCCCCCCCCACCCCCCCAAATCGTGGCATAGTGTCTGGCTGTACATGATGGCTTGTATATAAATGTGAATGTGTGACTACACCAAAGCCTGCATGAAATATTAATTGCATTGTACATTTTCTGCATGACTTTAAAAACCTTAACAATACATGATCCTCTCTCATTTCTTGCCGCCTGATAAGAGATTGTTACTTTTAGAAGCATGTTAAGACAGTTGCATGCTGTATTTACCAAGAAAGCATTTCCAAGTCATACTTTGTTTTTGCTTTTTGGTGTTTTTTTTTTTTTTTTTTTTTTTTAATTTAAATTTTATTGATTTCAGAGAGGAAGGGGAAAGGGAGAGATAGAAACAACAACGATGAGAGAGAATCATTGGCTAGCTGTCTCCTGCATGACCCCTGCTGGGGATGGAGCCTGCAACCTGGGCATGTGCCCTCAACTGGAATCGAACACAGGTCCCATCAGATTGCAGGCTGATGCTCAATCCACTGAGCAAAACCAGCTAGGGCCCAAGTCATACTTTGTTGCTTCCAAAAAAGAATGCTCATTTCCTCCCTCTCTCCTTCTTATTCCTCTTTTTCTAATAAATATTTCTTTTAAAAATATATATTTCTTTTAATTGATTTCAGAGAGGAAGGAAGAGGGAGAGAGAGATAGAAATATGCCCCCCTAATCAAGTCCACAACCTGGGCATGTGCCCTTATCTGGAACCGAACGATGCCCTCCTGGCTCATAGGTCGACGCTCAACTACTGAGCCATGAAGGATGGGCCTTTTCTTTTATTTCCAGAATGTGCACCACATATTGCACATGTATAGGAAAATATGTTAAAAAAAAAAAAAAAGTCCTTTTCTTTTGCCATTTAATTATGCCTTCTGTCCTTTTTTATTTTCAAATAGTTAATAGCTCAATACTTTAGCAAGTATTAACTACTGTCCATATTTATAAAATTGTTCAGATTTAAAACATTGTTAATATTAATAAATTTAGTGTAATTCTTAAAAAACCCCATCAAATTTAAATGTGACTTTTACAGTAACAAGGAGCATTTTCTATGTATTCTATTTCTTTTCTGCACTTTTCTTCATCTTCCTTCGAGATTAATTTTTACCTAGAATCAGTTAAGAGTTTTTCTAGTGTTTTTTTTTTTAATAGAGTCAAAGAGAAATAAAACAATCATACACAAAGTGTTGAAAATTTGCATTTTTACTTCTGTTAAAAAGGGTAGCAAGTTTACAAAGTGGTAAAGATTGGTACTTCTAAAATTTTATAATTTATTATTAAATGGTATGTCTTTCCTAAAAAAGTTTTCTAAAATGAGTACATTGTGCTAAAATAAAATATTAGGATTTGTAACCACACTTAAATTAATAGGTGTACTTTTAGTAGAACAAATTTAAGAATAAATATGATTTGTAACTAAAAAATAACCATATAAAATAGCGAAAGTATTTGCTAACTTTGACTCTGGTGTCATAAACTTTAAAATTGTCTCTTGCTGTGGTCCTTTAAAAGCAGAATCAGCTATTCTTGAATCTCCCAGAATAAAACAAAAATAAAAACTCATAACTCTCACTCATCCCTGGAGGAGTATATCTTCACTCTGTCTCTGGAATGTTTTTGCCATTTTGATTTAGCCTAACTATTTCTGTTAATAACAGCCTGACAGCTGAAAGGAATGCTTTGAAATGTAATTTTCTAAAGAGGAAGGAAATTATTATTTACTACATGTTGTTAATTATTGTTATTAATTGAACCAAGGCCCCTTCTACTTACACTTTTGACCATACTACTTTTCTTATAGCCAGCTCATATTAAAAGTAGTGCTAGAGCAGGTAATCAATCAGGAAATTTTTATATTTTTAGTACCACCTAATATATTTTCTTTGTGAATAAATCCATCTATTTTATTGTCATTTGTTTTATACTCAATTCTAACATTTCAGATGTTTTTGGTATGTCTTCTTTTATTTTTTCATAGCCTAGTAATAAAAATTAATGGCAAATGCAGGTGAGATTAGATGGAGGACATATATCATGCAAATATAAAAATTATTATTTCTTTTCCACATTGAGTCAAGTTTTATTTCTCAACTTTTTAAATATTATAAATCTGGCCATATATTTTTAATTTAAAACATTAAATTTTAAATTTCATACATTGAGAAATCATGTGCTATTATATTAAAAACTGATTATTTTAAAAAATTACTTTTACAGTAAAGATTTACAACCCAAATGGCTATAGTTATATATACAGCACATTTTCAAAAAGAAGATTCACACTGTGCATGTGAGACAGATACATACCACGTCTATGTATCTTGATGATTGTCTAAGAATACAGATTAGATTTCCTCCAGAAACTATCATAAACTGTGGAGTCATAAAAGTCTCTCAGAACACTATATTAATATAAGTGAAATCTTAGAAAGATGCCCCCAATTAAATACATTTTTAAAGATAAAATTAAAACACTGACTCAATTGAGCAGCTACATGTTTTTCTTCTAAGACATCCATAAAAATCCTATGACTTCACAAAAGATTATTTGAAAAACGATGTGAGATTCAGATACCCTAATTTTAGATGAAACTGCATAGTTTCTATTCCTAGGCTTCTAGAAATTATGCCAATATTGTGTGACATTGAAAATTAACACTGTTACGTATTGGGTCCCCTTTAACCAAAACAATTTTAGCTATTACAGTGTAACAAGGTATATCATTTGCCTACAAAATATGCCTTAAGCCCAGGTTTTCTTAGTAAGTAATACAAATATTTCATTGTAGATGTTTCTGCCACTGCACGCAAGATTACTTTTTATTTTACAACTATACATGACCATTTAGTACATAAACATAATAAGTACTTTTTGACACTAGGAGGCATATTATTTCTAGCTTTTAAATATGAAAACCAGTCTTGAAGTAATGAGATGTCTATCAGATGAAAGGATTTCCCCGAGTTAGATTCCTTCTCCTTGCCCTGTTCAATGAGAACTCTTTAGTTTCTTATCTTCATGAATTGTATTATGTTTAACTTTTGATTAAATAACATGAAATGCTTTTTTCCTGCAGATGTGGACAAAGTACAAGAAAGCAGAAATTCAAAAAGCAGGTCTAGGGAGCCACAAAGCTCCTAATTCTATTACCCACTACATGACATGTGGGCCAAGTGGTGAGTTTCTTACTCAAAATGTAAATGAGATCAGTCTCATTTATACAAACTAACAGCATTAAGTATAAAAACAAGTGCACATTGCATTAACAGATGTAAATATTGCTTGCTTAATTGATTCATGACTTCTGTCCTGTTTACTAGTAAAGCAAGATGATTTGATTGCCATTGTTTTTTGCCTGTCACACAGGAAGCAAACCTTTAAAGAATTATTTTTTCCCTCAATTTAAATTTAATCTTAGTAGTGAGTAATGTCTTAGAAATTCCTGTTTCAGTGTGAAGTCTTTTTTTTCTCTTTTTCTTTTTTGTGGTAGGAGTACAACTTTGCCACAGTGTTCTTGGTAATTGAGGGTAAACTAAATGCCATTTAAGGAAAACATGTCTCTGACTTACTGTCACTCTCATTCCTATAGAAATATCTGGTGCATGCTGTTCTTGTAGTGGCTGCTCTGTATTTTATATCTCTTATCTTTAAGCTTTTCTTATATTTTCTTTCTTCTTTCTACCTTTCAACTAAATACAGAGAGAAAAGTGTCCTTCATTTTCTCAGTATGAAGCCTTTATTTCTGAAGTAACAAGACACCCAACTATAGAAATCACTTTTTTAAATCTTTAAGGAGACTTTATACAATTCTGCGTGACTAGAGCAGGCAAGAAACACAAACCTTCATTCCTTCCTTGAATCAAGGAGCACTACTGGAGTCAACTGCCAAAATTTTTAGAAGGTTTTAGGACTCACTATACATTGTACTATTAAGATCTACTGAATAAAGGATGTTCTCTCGCTAAGGACCAAGTGTTTTGAGGTTTCAAGAAGTACTCCAAGAACAACCTACTTCTTTCATCATTTGTTTATGAATTGATTCATGTTTGCTTAATGCTTCTGCTAAGAATTAGCAAAAAATCTAGTGATTTATATTTAGTTGTGTAATCTAAATCAAATGCTGTAGTATGTTGTGGAATGTACTATATATCAAGATACAGAGAACCTTGGTTTTGGCATGCCAGAATCTTATTTGGTTAGCAGACTGCATGTATTGGTATTTTTTTTAAGCCAATTATTTTGGTGCACTGAACAAGAAATTCGGTTTATACGATCAATCTGAAAAATCCATAATGAGATAGGAGTTATAAAAAACTTACAGTGATATTAATCTCCCCATATTCCCCAATAAGCAACACTAAGCATTCAAATTAAGTAAAGAGTGTTTTCCTGAAACTTTTAAGTAAGGTGGTTTTCCAGTAAATGGCATTCCCAAGATAAAGTTGTATTTTAACTCATTTCCCCTCTTTAGTATTGGGTTATGTATGTTTGTTTTTTTAACTTGAGAGTTGACTGTTGCTTAAGTTTTCTATGGCAAATATAATGTAAATAACTTACTATGATCTGCATTTTGCCAGGAACTCACTTATTCTTAAGATTATCACTTAATAAGAATTTTTCTGGTTTTGTCCTTTATAATATTAAAGTTGGTAACTTTATTGGTACTTTTGAAATATTTGTATGCATTTGTTACCTTAAACATTTGAAAGAAGCACAAAAAAGTAGATTTAATTAATTTAACCCAGGGAAACATCAGTTCTTTTTGTAGTTCCAATTTTATATCACAGTTTTATTTTCTTACAAAATCAAAAAAATGCATTGATACCTGTTAATGCAAATTCATTATTTAACATAAATATCAGAATAATCTTAAAGGTCTTAAGTGAGGAAGATATTGATTTTTTTTTATTTTAACAGTGTACTTCTTATGCTTTCATTACCAGCTCTAAAAATCTTTTTGGAATAATTCATATTCTTGTGTGTAGTTTATGTGAACTGTGTGTTTATAACTAACCTAGATGTCATGAGAAATGTGTTGTTTTGCTCTCCCTCCCTCCCTCTCTCTTCCTTTTCTCCCTCCTCCACCTTTTTCTCTCTCGTGTATATTTATCTTTTTTGGAGAGGGTAGGCCAGTAGCTATGTTGTGATCAGAGTCTACTTTCAGAAAGACCATTAATGAAAAGACAGAATGTATAGTTGACCAGAAACTAAATGGGAAATTAGCAAACTTGGTTAACTTAGCCACTATTTAACTTAGGCCTTGCCACCAAATAGGGCTGTAAAGTTAAATCACTTTTAAAGTCTTGGCTGAAAGGTGCTGTGTAGTGTAAATACAAAGGATTCTTACTAAAATATAGTTATTACACAACAGACATATTTAAAACGTATTCTCTAGACTTTGAAAGATCTCTCTCCATCATGACTCCCTAGATTCAAGTATCAAATTGCTCATTGGGCATCATGGCAGTCTGGAGACACTTACATGTAAAAAATGTAAACTCATTTTTAGGTGGATAAATGGAAAATAAATATAGAAATTATGTTTTAGCTAAAATACAGTGAGTAATTTAGTTTATATTAACTAGCTTCTAATTTGCACAAGTAGGACACATCCCCGGACACTTACTGAAAATCAAAATTAATGAGTAGGAGGTGGCCCAATGGGGGTGACTGATATCACAGCTTGGCCTCTCCAGGTTACAGATGTCCTAAAACAGAGAGCTGCTCACATAAGCAGCACATTATCCCTTCAAGTAGGAAACACTAAGGCAGCCTGTAAAGTACTGAATCTGCGTAGGCTGGCTGTGAGAAAGTCCGGTTAAAGCACCAACCAAGGGAACACTTGAAACTGCAAAAGTAAGAATAGTCTCAATTATATTCATCCCCCTTTTCATAACAATTCAAGAAAGGACTAAATAATAACCACACGAATATTTTACTTTCTCCAAAAGGCATCATTGGAAGCAAACTTAGTAGGAAGTCACTCTTTTCCTTAAACAAAATAGTGTGGCTAACTAGAAACTAACTGGGGCCTTTTTACTGGAGCCTGACATGCTTTTAATTATCTGGTTTTATTCTAAATCGACACCTAACCCCCGCACCTGACCCCACCCCAAAAAAACACCGAAGAATTTAATATACAGGGTAAGAGTTTTGGCCTAGAACTCCAATACAGTGCTTCAGATCTGGCCATGTGGAAATTTTGGTCCAAGTTTTTGAACTGGTGGTTACCAAAGAGTTCACAAAACAGGTTTGTATGTAGCACCTTTCATGCAAGGCATGGTAAGAGCCTACTTAAAAATCACTGTGCACATTACAGAATTGCAGCCACCTCACAAATGAAGTATTACAGCCTGCACTGTCTTAACAGTTTATGTCAGAAAGTGAAAAAGACATTGTACCAAATCTGGATTACAGTGCGGAATAATGTATGCTAAATGACTTGTATTTTAAGTTACTTAGGAGAAAAGTGATCATTTTTTATTTTTATTTTTTGCTATACTTAGTCCTGAGATTTTTTTTTAAAGTCTTGAATGAATAATACAAAAGGAGCCCATTTTATAATATCAAACTTGATGTACATGTTGAAATATTTGGACAATGAAAATGCCTTAAACGGAATGCTTATAAAGTTGCACTTATAACACCCATTAACAAAACCTGGTTATAAATTGTCTTTTTCTTTTCTACTAAGGTTTCTCTTTTGATGTTTGCCATTGTACTTAAAAATGTTATTAAATACCAAATCAAATAATATAAAAGCTGTAACATTTCCTTTCAGAGTAATGCTACTGAGGGATCTGAAGTTGAACAGCAAAATGTTTGGCAGTACCTAATATCAGCCACAGAAATCCAGTTTATAATGACACCATTGTTTATCTTTTTTAAAAACATCACTTTATTATTTTAGTTTTTAACTTTTTTAAAAAAATTAGGTTGGCTTAACATTTGCTTATCAAACTGATATAAAAAATAAAGCAAAGGTGGTTTTTATAACAAATGGTTAGTAATCATTTAAAATTTGTAAAATATGATTTAGCCAAGTATTCTTTCCTTTCCCTTTGCCCTGAAAAACCAATTTTCACATAACTCATAACCTTATTTAGATGATTGTGTCCTAATCATTTTGGGATGGGGTTTAGAGGTTTTGGGAGAAAGAGAAAAGAGTATCAGTTGTCAATTCCAAAATAGGTTTAAATACATTAAGAGATTTTTCAGCCCTAGCTGGGTTGCTCAGTTTGTTGGTTATGGTTCTCTTCTGTCCCTGGACAGGGCACATACAAGAACCAACCAATAAATGCATAAATAAGTGGAACAACAAATCAATATTTCTAAAATAAAAAATCAATAAACCATAGATTGTACAAATCAGTATCTCATCTTCACTCATAGCCATTGGAAGCAGAATGTTAGAGATGGCAACCAGCCTTGTGTCCTTGAGCAGGTCATTCTTTCTGGAACTGTTCCCGTCATAGGTGGGGAAGGGCAATTAGACCACTTATCTAAGGTCTTTGGATCTATTCATTAAATCTTCATTTAATATGCAAAGCAACCTAAAACTTACTCTTAGAGATACAGTAGGTAAAAACTAACATGGCAAATCAGGATAAAGTTATCATTTATGAAGTGTTTATTATTAATTCCACATCTCAAATCTGTTCTATATTTTATAAAAATTCTGCCATAGACTTATAGCTTCTAATCATCTACATATAGAAAAGTCTAAGCAACTGTTCAACCATCAGTATGATGCACACTGACCACCAGGGGGCAGACATCAACACACAGGCATGGAAACATGGAACAGACTGATGAATCTCGGAGGGAGTGGGGCAGGGTGGGAAGAAATTAAAGATCTTGTAAGCATATTAGAAGCCTGGTGCACTGTGCACCGTGGGGTTTCTCAGCCTGGCCTGCAGGGATCAGGCCAAAACCAGCTCTCCGACATCCCCTGAGGGGTCCCAGATTATGAGAGGTTACAGGCCAGGCTGAGGGACCCTATCGGTGCACAAATCTGTGCACTGGGCCTCTGGTATAACAATAAATGACACGTTTTTACTTGTACTTTGCCTTTCAGTAACACAAATTAGTATATATTAAATACAGTATCTCTACCAAGGGGAAATTATTTTTTGAGTGGTCATACTTAGAGGAAAATGAGAATTCTTGTGACAAGACCTATAAACTGTTTCTGTAGTCTAGACAATGCCAGACCCTCAACTGATGAAAGGTTTTAAGTGAGGTGAAAAAAATGTCAATTTTCCTCTATTTTTAAAATACCTTCTATGTAACAAGTGACAATATATAATCCTGGCATTTTACACTTTTCATATACCATAACTGAAAAGGTGATGAGTAAAATTCAATATATTCCAGAAGACAGAAGAAACTTGTTCATATTCACATTTCTAACCTTTGAACAAAGACTAAATAAATCCTTCCAATGGCCTGTGTATATTCTACTGCATTTTTGAATTTCAATGGTATAAATGAGTACATTTTCCATCCCTATTTTGAGTTTTTCTAGATGAAACTTTTCTAAAGAGATACTTTAAAAAATATATAATTATCTTATTTTTTTCCCTGAAGAAAAACCACTTCTATTTTTTAAAATATGTTACTGATTTCAGAGAGGGAGAGGAAGAGGCATAAAAACATCACTGTTGAGAATCGTTGATCTGCTACCTCTTGCACGCCCCCTACTGGGGATAGAGCCCACAATCCAGGCATGTGCCCTCGACTGGAATCCAATCAAGTGCAGTTTAGTCCACAGGCTTATGCTCTATCCACTGAGCCAACCCAGGAAGGGCAAGAAAAAACACTTTTAAAAACAAATACCCAGTAACACAAATGTTTAGCTCTTGTCCTGTTTGTTTTAATTATCTTGCTGGGCAGTTTGCCTTATTCCTCATTCCCCAAAGAGAACCATTATCAGCAATAAACTTAAATTCCTCTCTTTTCCCTGTATGTGCACTATCATATGCATAATTTTATATATGCTGTTTTTTCAATTACAATAAATAACAAAGATATGTTAATCTTGGTTTGGTGTTAATTCTTAATTTTTTTAAAAACATTTTATTGATTTTTTACAGAGAGGAAAGGAGAGGGACAGAGAGTTAGAAACATCAATGAGCAAAACATGGAGTTAGAAAGATCAGCTGCCTCCTGCACACCCCCCATTGGGGATGTGCCCACAACCAAGGTATATGCCCTTGACCGGAATCAAACCTGGGACCCTTCAGTCCGCAGGCCAATACTCTATCCACTGAGCCAAACCGGTTTCGGTTTATTCTTAACTTTTGAGGGCATTTCTGTAATGAGTCATGGGGAATGAAGAGTGGGGAGAGGAGAGGGATCTGAGCTAACACTACCTCAATATATCTTTTTAAAAACAGCTTTAAGATGAAATATCCCTCCTAAAGTGACTTAAGTAGTCACCAAACCAAGGTGCTAAATATTTTTAATGTTTCTTACAAATTAGAAATAAGAAAAACAGCTTTCATATGTACATATATTCTAAACAGTAGTCCAATTAGTTTTTATCAAAATGCAGTATTATGGGATCATGTCCTGTCTTCTTCACAAATGTAAGAAAGTCTTCAGGGCTCAACCCCATGGTTGCAGTGTTGGTCATTGGATGAAAGTATACCTTTTCATGCCCACCTTCCAAAAAAGCAGAATCCAGGACAAATTTCACATCTCCGTCATCACAGAAGAGTGCCAAGGGTGTGGCACAGCCAGAGCCAACCTTCAGCTTTTCTAGCATGGCTGCTTCATCGGCAAACCGCAGGTTTCCACTCCCGACATCTAACTGCTTGGCAAGGTCATTTAAGTTAACTTGTCTGTCATGAAGAACTGTCACCAGCCAATAGCCTTTTTTCTTTTTGTCTTTAAGAAATAAGTTCTTGCTATGTGCTCCTTTCAAATGCTGGACGTGAGGCATCATTTCTTCAACAGTAAACACCTGTAAGGTGACACATGAGAAATTTAAAAATAACATGCATGTATACACACACTGCATATATACACAGTTATGTTTTGCTTGCGGGGTGAAAACAGCAACGTTAGGGGGGGAAAAACACACAGCAAGTTTAGGAAGTACTCAGTGCTCTGGATTTCACCCATTATGAAATACAAGTCTTTACCAGCTCAATTACTCATATCAGGACCTCAAATAATTTATCTTAGGTCAGTTCTCTATTCGAGTGTGCTGACTGACCAAGCCCTCACATTCTTAAAATACTTTGTTTTCTTTAAATTGAAAGTTTATAAGCACAGATTCCTTACCCTCCCATTACATCCACATCTGGTGACAACCTCCAATCCAAAGTACATAGCCACAGGGAGGGGGAGGGTGGGGACAGGGTCTCTGTTAGACCCTGGACTAATAGAGAACATCAGAAAGCTGGCAGTATGCTCAGGTCAAGAAGGAGCGTATGCGGACTATATGGGAGGGAAGAGGATCCGAGAAAATGATAGTTTTGATGTTAAATTTATAAAGTTGAGAAGACTTCTAATGGATTTCTCCACCCTTTGGAGATTACCGTATTTAGCTATTACCATTAGCTGTTAATGAAGCTTTGGGTAAAAAAAACGTTATGTACCCACAGCTCTCAAGTTACAACTGGTTCTGTGAAATATTTGCAAATCTTCATATACATTAAACCACGTTAAAAATACCAAACTTTCTAACCCTGGTGCCCTGCTGGTGTGCATGATGCATCGTAGCTACTGCAGAGACAGTTTTCTGCGTGGTGACTTTTCACATAAAGTGGACAAACTGAGCAGCATCTCACAACAGTTTACAACGCACAAGTTCTCAACATGTGGCACTAGTCCTCGATATGGCATCATAACCCCAAATCCAGAGGCCTTTGATGCAGTCGGGTCCTCTCCGTCCTAGAATCTGGGGAATGCCTAAAATGGACGTTTCTGGGACACACTCACTACCCCGGCACCCGTGGCTTCTGCGGCCCGGCCCGGCCCGGAAGACGCTGCAGCGGCGCCCGCCCGGCTGTCCCGGCGGCGGCTTCTCACCTCCGGGTGCTCCACGACCTCCGTGCGGATGGCGAGGGCGTCGAGCCTCCGCTCGAGCGCTGCCCGCAACTCAGCACCGGCCATGCTGCTGTCGTGGCCGGCGGGAGCGACAGGCGGGGAGGAAGTGCCTGGCATCGCTGGAAGTGGAGGAGGGCGCCTACGGGGAAACGGGGCGGCCTCTGGGAGCCCAGTGCCGGCGACTTCCGGGGGTGGGCGGTGCCTTCCGGGTGGGCGGTGCCTTCCGGGGTGGGCGGCGCCGTCTACCTGCGCCCCGCCCCGCGCGTTCCTGAAAGCATCCCAGGACGCAGACTTTCTGCACCTGCACGGAGGAAAGATCAGGGAACATGACAATTTGATGTTGAAGGCTGCCACCTGAGGGAAGCAACCTTGAAAGAGTAATGTATGGAGACCATCCGGACAGTAGGCGACGGAGCCATGCTATGGCCTCTGTGTGAACTATCTGGATGGAGGTCTTGTCTTGCAGCCACCCAAGACAAGCCGCCTGAGTAAGTTCCCCGGCTTAGTACACCTGTCACCTTCCCATATGGACCGGCCTGCCTCTTCGGTTTCTGCTTGTCCTCTGGGAAACTCCCTGAGTTTGCGAACCATCAGGGAGAGAGTTGGGGGGCAATCCCTAACCTTTGAAGACTTCTCAGTTTTTTAATTATGATTTTCACTTTACCCTTTCTGAAAGTTAACTTTTGTTATTTATTCGTCTGTGAAATCTTTTTTTTTCATTAGCTTTTCCTCTAAGAATGAAAGTAGAAAGTAATCAATAGCAAGATCACCCTTTGGAACATAGGGCATATCCCGAGTGATTGTCCTTAAATATTTTAAGACTTTGAAGAATAAATATCCAAATCCAATCATGGTGACCAGAAAGTAAGCAAGGAAAGAATCGTTGGAATCTGATTGTACCTAAGCAATGTAAATTAGGTCCCAAAGTAGGAAAACATTAACCACGGGTAGGATCTCCGTGGCAGCTACAAAAGAATGAAAATAGATAAAATTGGCAGTGCATCCAGCACATTGCCTACCTAGAAATCTCTTTGGGATTGAACTACCATCCATCACTTATGCAAGGCATGAATCCCTCCCCTAAACCCACCTCCACTCCCCGCCACCACCACCGCCCAGCCACCCCACAGCTAATCCAGCACAATTGCCTCTCAAGTCCTTTCCCTTTTCACCACCTCCAGCACAAGAGCTCAGCGATTTTCAACCGGTGTGCTGCAAAAATTTTCAAACCATGCAATGCCTGACTAGTCAGGCCCACGTTCCCTGGTATTTTTTTTCCTTGTATGTGTCTTATAGGAACCTATCCTTTCTCCCTCATTTCCGGGCTTAACGTTCCTCGGAGGGTAGGCGCTCACAGCCCCAGAAGAGCAGAAATAAACTGTAGAAGAGATTACCGACGCACTGACCCCGTGAAGAGGATACAGATTGAACTAGCGCCTCCCACGCTGGGCGCCGCCCACCCCACCCCTGGGAACCAGACACCCGGGTCCCGGCGGCAAGGACGACTATTCCGGAATGGGATCTCTCAGTTCGGGGAAGAACCGCTTCCGGCGGCACCGGAAGCCGGGTGGGGACCAATTCGGAGACGGACTGACCGGCCGTCAGTTCCCTGAGGTCCAGAAGGTGAATTGCGCCTGGTGCAGGAGCTCAGTGAGTGGTGCGTGTTGTGTGACCTCAAGTGTCAGCGGCACCAGTCACAAACATTGCGCTTTTGCAGGATGCAGTTCTGCCCTGCATGACCCTCCTCCAGGCTTCCCGAAGCGGTCTGCAGCCGGGAGCGCCGCGGCAGGTGCGGACCCCAGTCCCAGCCTCCCCTGTGCCCAAGGCGGATTGGGCTCGGGTTCGAGGCTGGCAGATCTGGGCTTTCTCTGCAGTGACTTCCTTTTACCTTTCAGATAAGTTCCAAGGCTACATTCAGACGTTTCCACCAGCTCAACTGCATGTTGGATATTTCCAACATCCTTTTCCAGATTCCATGAATTTCCTAGCGGCGAGAGAACGCCGAATTGGGTGTCAGAAAGCCTGGGTTCTGGTCCTGACTGCCATTAACTAGCGGTATGACATTCGAGAAGGTTCTTTTTTCTCCTCTCTCCTGCCCTCTTTCCCCCCTCCCTCTTTTCCTTTTCTTTTCTTTTTTTTTCTTCTTTCTTCTTTCTTTCTTTCTTCTTTCTTTCTTTTTTCTTCTTTCTCTCTGGGCTCCATTTTTCTTTTCTGTAAAATGAGGGCCTTGGAATTAAGTAACAAGTAAGGTTTCTTCCAGTTTTGATATGTGGATTATTGCGCCCAATGTGTTTTTCTAATTCCGGCCTTAACGTATCTGTGCTTTGGTTAATCTCTGCAGGGCCTTTCCTCCTGTGTGTCCTTGTGAAATCTGGTTTTAGGCTCATTAAGATTATTTCTTATTTACTAAGGAGCCCCGTGCTTCCTGAGCACACTTTAGTTCTTAGTCCAGGGACTTGTGCCTGAAGAAGGTATTTTAAATGTGGCTCTCTTGAGGTGTGTAATGTGCCTGGGAATCATTATGTGGGAACACTAGGCGATTGTGAACTCTGAAGGAAGGGACTCCGGCTTATTAAACTATGAATCAACTTCCTCAAACACACTGCCTGGAGGCCGGTGAATGTTGAAAGACAATTCCAAGTAGAGAGAGTTTATGCAAAGGTTCAAAACTAGTTGACAGGCCCTGGCCAGGTACTTCAGTTGGTTATAGCGTAGTCCCAATACACCAAGGTTGTGGATTCGACTTCTGGTCAGGGCACATAACAAGAAGCAACCAATAAATGCATAAATAAGTGGCATAACAAATGTTATCTCTCTCTCTCAATAAAATTTTTTTAAAAATAATAAAAATATATTTTAAAAAAATAAGTGCCATAATAAATTGATCTCTTTTTTTTTATAAATGCTTTATTAGAATGTACCTTTATTTTATTTTATTTATTTATATATATTTTTAATTAATTTTGTACAGAGAGGAATGGAGAGAGATAGAGAGTTAGAAACATCGATGAGAGAGAGTCATCGATCAGCTGCCTCTTGCACACCCCCTACTGGGGATATGCCCACAACCAAGGCACATGCCCTTGACCGGAATCGAACCCGGGACCCTTCAGTCCCCAAGCCGATGCTCTATCCATTGAGCCAAACCGGTCTTGGCAAATTGATCTCTTTTTTCCTCTCTCTAAAAATCAATCAATAGCCGAAACCGGTTTGGCTCAGTGGATAGAGCATCGGCCTGTGGACTGAAAGGTCCCAGGTTCGATTCCGGTCAAGGGCATGTGCCTTGGATTCGGGCACATCCCCAGTAAAGGGTGTGCAGGAAGCAGCTGATCAATGATTCTCTCTCATCGATGTTTCTAACTCATTATCCCTCTCTCTTCCCCTCTGTAAAAAATCAATAAAATATATTTTTAAAAGAGAAAAAATAAAATAATAAAAAAGTTTTAAAAATAGATGACAAATCGTTGGAGATTACAAGTAGGGAAGAATAACTAAAGCCTGGGAGGTAGGAGTGAGGGGACTATTAAGAAGAAATGAAGTGAGGCCAGCAGAGGGCAGAGATAGCATGTTTGAGATTGTACATTAAACTGTGGGGCCATCGGTAGTTGTTTAGCTCAGAGTTGATGAGTTCATATTTTCATTTTGGAAAAAATCACTCTATTTTTAGTTTGATTAGCTGATGGTTTTCAAGAGTGAAAAAAAGCCCTTTATAATTTTGTTACTCTATTTCAGTTCTATCATAGTAGGAACATTGACAATAATAATACTTAATATCTAGAGAGTAGTTAGTATGGAATCCCAACTCTGACTAGACTGAGAGCTCTTTCAGGGCGGGAACCTACTTTCATTCATTGTAACTCTCGTGCCTTTCTTGGTGTAGAGGGGATAGCCAATTAATATCTGCTAACTTGATTTAAATACTAACCAAAATACTACTTTAAAACTTTTTTCCTAGGAGAAACATGAACCAGCAGTTGCTGAAGTTGGAGAACTTGCTCCGATGTCACACTGTCTGTAGACAGCTGCACAGCCTCGGTCACAGGAGAACCTCAGCGCGATGGCAGCGTGTGTTTGCGTCTGCTTCCCCAGGGCGGCCAGCTCAGCAGTGCACGGGGCCCTGGCACACAGACTCGCTCTTCGGAGCCGCTTTATCTCAACATAGGCTTCTGGTCACCAAGAAGGTAGTTGTAGATTTCTAGCATTACCATATTGTTTGGTCTGACATGAAAGTGCCTGGAGCCATGAGTAGAAGTCCATTTTCGGTGTTTTGTCATTTACAGACTCTTTATTCCATAATGCTACACTCCAGGTAATAAATCTTTTGCGAAGAAGGGAAGTTCTGGCTGTTCTGTAATGCTGATGAATCTGGTTACTTGGAAATTGGTGTATAACGGTGAATGAAGGATGCAGGATTTTAAAATTTAGTCTGAGATTTACCTGCTTTAAGGGAGTGTTAATTCTTAGAAATAGAAGCTGTGGTTATGGTAGATATTCCAGAATAAAGATAAATTGTCACTTAAAAGCTGTTTCTTCTTTGTGCGTCCTGATTTTTTAATAGGAAGTAAGGCCACGGAAGTCTCAGTTATCTTCCACAAAATCCAAAAAGGAGGTGGAGGTATGGATTGGCATGACTGTTGAGGAGCTGGCCAGAGCAATGGAAAAGGACACAGGTGAGCCACAGAATCTTATAAGGAAAAACAATGGGAACGCGGAATACTTGGAATCTCATTTGCAATGAGACTGAGGCATTCCAGTATGAAAACTAGACTGGTAGTTTAAAAAGTTTTCCTTACAGTGTTCTTCACTGTAAGTCACAAACTATAATTTGTTTATTGGCTCTTTGCCAAACATAGTTCTCTAACATTTCACTTCTAGTAAAAATGGAAATGACTTTATCTGAACTAACCATTCTTTCTCAGAAATTTAGTGAGATATTAGATTTAAGTCCAAATAATTTTTTTGGATTGAGGGACCATATTTGTATTCATTTACTTTCCCCTTGGTTTTCTTAGTTTTATGATTTCCCTTTTCCCCTAATTTTGACATTACATGTAGTGTCGGCATAAAAATATTCATAGTATGAACTACAACTTCTAGTACTATTTCTATTTGTATTATAGTCATATTTATCCCTCATTACACCATTGATGTATTTATTACCAATTTAGGATTGTTGGAACAGAATGAGTCTT